AATACTTGAAGAGAAAAGCAGTTGGCATTTGGAAGTGTAGCAGATGCTCTAAAACTGTTGCAGGGGGTGCTTGGGTTTATTCAAGTACAGCTGCAGCTCAAGTAGGCAGTGCTATTCGTCGTCATTTATGGATGACCCCCACCATCCCGTGCTGGACTGTTGGGTTATGTTCCTAATATATCGCCTGTGTGCAGAAACGTTGCAGATTTTTAGTACTACAAAAGTGCGTAGATGTGCAGTTAGTATTTTAATGTGGAGTTAGTGTTCAAAAGTAGAGTCAGTGTTTAAATGTGAAGTCAAGTGTTAAATGTTCAGTGTTTAAATGTGGAGTCAGGGTTTAATGTGGAGTCAGGGTTTAAATGTTGTCAGTATTACTTTGACCTCTAAATTACATGAAAGATTAGTACTACATCTATCAAGGGGAAGCAACCGAATAAAACATGATCCAATAACATTTAGCCGGTTAAGGTTCTTTATTTTTTTATTTCTCACGTGAATCTTAAAAAAAAGTGTTAAAGAGTAGAATTCGCATAGTATTTTATAGAAAGTTCACTATTTTGTGTTTTAAAATTCAAATTCTGTTTTTAATAAATAAATGAGACCATTATCGATATTTTAAGCAACCCTATCAACTTTTAATCAACCCTATCAACTTTTAATCAACCCTATCAACTTTTAATCAACCCTATCAACTTTTAATCAACCTTATCAACTTTTAATCAACCCTATCAACTTTTAATCAACCCTATCATTAGCTTCTCGGGAGACGGCGGGATGGGGCGGGAGACCGTGGGATTTGCTAACTCTTACGTCCCGAGTGTCGGGAGCAGGGCAGATGAGGCTCATTAGCTGGGGACAGCAACTTGGGGAAAGAAAACTAGTTTGTTCTTGTGTTGACAAATCTAAAATGAGAATTAGGCTCAAGTCGAACTCATCTGGTTAGACGAGTTTCTACCGCCCCCCCCCCCCCGATTAATTTATATATAAAATATATACTTTTACTAGTGTCCACCCACCCTCCCCCCTCCCCCAGAAACTTTATTCCCCCCCCCCCCTCCCCCGAGAGTCACAAAGAAAAAAGTCTGGAAGAAACACTGCGTATACGTTGACGAGTATTACTAACTATATTCGTAACCAGTGTTTCTTCCAGACTTTTTTCTTCGGGGAGAGGGGGGGGCGGACTTTGGAGACCCCCCCCCATTCTCCCCCCCCCCCCCACCCCATCACCCCACCCCCACCGAAGAAGTGCCTGGAAGAAACACTGCTCGCTACGTGTTTGTTTTTTTCAAACTAGTTTTTACTTTATACCACTCGATGACAAGAGCAATTGTTATTATTACAATTTATCTTCAATTTTCTTTATTCGAATGGACTGAACATTTAACAATTAAAAAATTAAAAAATAGCACAGTATTCCAGTTTTCCGTAACCATTAAACTCGACAAAACTGTTCTTTATTCTAGACCTCGCCTCACCCAGAGATGAATCGTTATCAAAAACCAAAAATGTTTTGACCAGGTACGATTCTCCAGGTTCATCGTCTGCTATTTTTAGAAAGTTCGCATGTGTAGTCAGAGGCGTAAATTTTTCGAGTAAAGGTAGGGTGCGAAATTTAGAAAGAAAAAAAAACAGCACTAGATTCATAATTTTAGGTGTGACTATCGGATGCCCTCGCGAATCAGGGTAGGATGGTCAGGTTCAAACTTTTAAGGTCCGGCTACTCGACGGTGAGAAAATGGAAATGAATTGGCCACACGTTCAGGAAGCCTGTATCCATCATAACAAGACAGGCCCTCACCTGGAATCCAAAGGGCAGGAGGAGAAGAGGCAGACCAAGAAAGACCTGGAGACGTGACCTGGAAGAAGACACCAAAAAGATTGGATACACATGGGGACAGTTGGAGAGACTAGCCCAGGACAGAGGCGCCTGGAAAGCTCTTGTCAGCGACGTATGTCCCAGGAGGGGTGACAGGCTAACCTAACCTAACTTGACGATGGGGTACGAGTTTACCCTGCGTTCAGTGGGGTGGAAGATAAGCCTGGTGAGAACCAAAGGACAGAAGCGACTGATACGGTAATAAAAATCGGTAACCAAACCAGTTAGCCGGAGTTTGTTGAGGCAAGACTGGCTAATGGGAAACACCTCCTGAGCCGGTGATGTCCGTACGGAAATAAGGAAAGCTGTCAATATATCTACACACTAATATATATATATATATATATATATATATATATATATATATATATATATATATATATATATATATATATATATATATATATATATATATATATATATCGATGGTCTCGGTCGCAAACCGTCTAACTCAAAAAATTTCGATTTTCTTTTTTTTACATAAATCAAAAGCCAATATGATTCCCCATAATGCCTGAAAATATTAGAGAAATCTGTAGAATGATTATTGAGATATAATCATTTGAACAAACTGCCTATTATTTCTAGCGCTAAAAATCTCGGCGCAAAACGAATATCGCTATATTTGTCAGTACACTTTTGATCGGGAACGCAGTCGTACGCCGTAATCACACAATTTTACAGCACAGCAGTCACGGTACTTATAGGTAAGGATATTTGATTAATTATGTTCAACTATTCTATTAAATTTTATCATTTTAAAGAATAATAAACAAATAGTATTTGTTTAATATAGCCTATTTCCAGATTTTCAATAACCAAACTGATTTGTTTACATTTTTGTAGGCAAACACAATGCTTTGAAACTAGATCTTCATTCTAGAATTTAAATATCAATCAAAACAATACAATTCGAATTATATTTCCACAAGAATGTGCAATAAATTTAATAATTAATTCACTACTAGCTTTAGATTGAGGGTTTAGATAATTGTTAAGAAATGTTTTTAGTAGATGCTTTTATGATTAATTTTTCAACAGACAAGCCTCAACACACCAGCCTCTCTCAACATACCAGCCTCTCTCAACATACCAGCCTCTCTCAGCATACCAGCCTCTCACAACAGAGCAGTCTTAACACATAACAGACCAGCCTCTCTCAACAGACCAGCCTCTCAACATATCAGCCTCTCTCAACAGACCAGCATCTCTCAACAGACCAGACTTACCACACAACAGATCAGCCTCTCTCAACAGACCAGCCTCTCTCAACAGACCAGCCTCTCTCAACATACCAGCCTCTCTCAACATACCAGCCTCTCTCAGCATACCAACCTCTCACAACAGAGCAGTCTTACCACACAACAGACCAGCCTCTCTCAACATACCAGCCTCTCTTAACAGATTAGCCTCACTCGACAGACCAGCCTCTCTCAACAGACCAGCCTCTCTCAACAGACCAGCCTCTATCAACATACCAGCCTCTCTCAACATACCAGCCTCTCTCAGCATACCAGCCTCTCACAACAGAGCAGTCTTAACACATAACAGACCAGCCTCTCTCAACAGACCAGCCTCTCAACATATCAGCCTCTCTCAACAGACCAGCATCTCTCAACAGACCAGACTTACCACACAACAGACCAGCCTCTCTCAACAGACCAGCCTCTCTCAACAGACCAGCCTCTCTCAACATACCAGCCTCTCTCAACATACCAGCCTCTCTCAGCATACCAACCTCTCACAACAGAGCAGTCTTACCACACAACAGACCAGCCTCTCTCAACAGACCAGCCTCTCTTAACAGATTAGCCTCACTCGACAGACCAGCCTCTCTCAACAGACCAGCCTCTCTCAACAGACCAGCCTCTATCAACATACCAGCTTCTCTCAACAGACCAGCCTCTCTCAACAGACCAGCCTCTCTCAACAGACCAGCCTCTCTCAACAGACCAGCCTCTCTTAACAGATCAGCCTATCTCAACAGATCAGCCTATCTCAACAGACCAGCCTCTCAACATACCAGCCTCTCTCAACAGATTAGCCTCTCTCAAAAGACTAGCCTCTCTCAACAGACCAGCCTCTCTCAACAGATCAGCCTCTCTCAACAGACCAGTCTCTCTCAATAGACCAGCCTCTCTTGACCTATCAGCCTCTTTCAACAGATCAGCCTCTCTCAACAGACTAGTCTCTCAACATATCAATCTCTCTCAACAGACCAGCCTCCCTCGACAGACCAGTCTCTCTCAATAGACCAGTCTCTCTCAATAGACCAGCCTCTCAACATATCAGTCTCTCTCATCAGACCAGCCTCTCTCAACATATCAGCCTCTCTCAACAGACCAGGCTCTAAACAGATCAGCCTCTCTCAACAGACCAACCTCATTCTACAAACCCAGCACCCACCAGATTTAGTGAAATAAATTGTGAGAATAGAAAGATGTAATAAATAAAGCATAACCTTCAACAGTTAACAAGTCTAATCTCTATTAAAAATTAAACTGACCCCATAATGTAGAATAAACTCAAATAAATAAAATATGAGCCCAAAACTATAATCTAAATATTATGAGGTGTTAATTATAACTTAAAAACATAAACATAACTAAATCACGTTCATTGGACAAAACGAACGAACGCGGCTGGGACCAAAATTCTCGGCTCAAAACAGCTAAGTCTGCGCGCGCACAGATAGACGGTTTGCACCGAGAATTTTAGACCGAGCAAACCGTCTATCTTTTTAAACCTGCTATAACTTTGTAAATATCAACAAAACCCATTTTAAAACGCTACAGTATAGTCGGTAGAGAGTTTCTTCGGAGATATCTTTTAAAAAAATGTGTATTAGAGCGATCGAGAAGGAAATAATAAGTTTTTTGTCTCTCCTGTAAAATTTACATTTTCGGAGTTAGACAGTTTGCGACCGAGACCATCGATATATATATATATATATATATATATATATATATATATATATATATATATATGTCTTCCCTTTGTGAGCTGTGTCTGGTTGCCTCCCCTGCGTAAAAACAAGACGCCTATACGAATGAAGGTGAAGGCGCGGGTTGAGATTTGGGTGTGTGCGTGCGTGCGCGTGATAGTGAGTAGATGCCAACAAGGGCGCTCATTCAGGCGGGGGAGAGGGGGTGAGAAAGGTGTACCGTGTTATTACTCACTCCAGATTTTCCTCCTAAGAAGCCATTTTTTTCACAGCACAGTAGAAGTATTCGTCTCCTTGTGTTTGGCACATTCGAGTTAACGGAGTTGAAAAACTTTGATTGGATTTGTTTCATTGCTTGTGTACCTGTATAAAGGTAAGTTATGTGCTGGGAGTTGTGTGTGTGTGCCCGTGTTACACACTTTAAAAGTGTTGTTTTTTTTTAATTTTCTGTTTAAAAAAAACGTAGAAAATTAAAGGGAGGGAAGTGCGAACTCGTATTAGAACATTACAAGAAAAATAATGTTTTTTGTAGGTGATGCCGGTATTCCATAAACAAATTATAATTATATCTTTAGAGGTCTATTATAGAAAAAACGAATATTATAGAAAACTTCTCTAAACTAAGACTACAACCGATTAAGTAGAGAAATAAACCTGGTATTTTAGTTTTTAATAAATGCCCAGCTAAATTTGTATCCATAAATTCAAGTACCGCTAGGTCTACTTACAAGAAGAGAGACCGCGATCACCAACTTCCTGGCTCTTCCTCGACCGTTTTGATCTGTTCTGACTGTTTGGTGAACTAGTGAATTTATTTTCAATATTAGCACCAGTTAAAAGTATACTATTATAACTATTTCCTGGCTTAATTTGTATGTTTGTAATGTAACTCAAGCAATTTACCAGCTTTACCCTACCCCCACCCTCCACACCATTCACGCTATACTATTAATAGATTAAGAATTAATGTGCTCCTGATATTATTGTTATTGAAGTTGCAAATGATTAATAAATGATCGGCGTTTATAACTGACAGTAGTTTCACATCATAGGCCAGTCTTAAAGTCAATAAACGACGATTTTACTGCTGGTGTTTGGTTGGGAATGGTGTGGACAAAAAAGTTATGACCAAAACTAACTTGAGAAAATAAACAACAAGCCAACCTAACTTTAAACTCAATTTTCAGTAAGCTGATATTGGGATGTTAACAGTGTTTCTTCCAGACTTTTTTCTCCGGGTGGGGGGGAGGGAGAGGGGCACTTGATATTGTCGGGATGGGGGGGGGGGGGGGGCGGACAACATTTTCGGGGTGGGGTGTGGACACTGGTAAAAGTATGTTTTCTATATAAATTCCATTTAGTTCGGGGAGGGAGGGGGCGGAAGACTTTCTTCGGTGGGGGGGGGGAGCCTGGATGCCTGAAAGAAACTCTGGATGATACTACTGTCTCCGCTGTAGTTAGATAACTGTGCTGTAATATGATAAGAACTCTACTCATCTACCATAAGGCCAGAAAGGGGAGTTTAACTTTCTTTGTCTTTTGTGAGGGGAGAGCAGCCTATAGTAACTACACGGTGCTAAAACATGAATAATGATGCAATGTTAATACGTGCTTTAAGCATGGGTCCAGCAAGTATGGGTGCACTAAGTTTGTGAACTAGATGTGAGTTCACTAAGATAGAGTGCAATTATGTATGGGTGCATTGTACACTGGGATTGTGCATATGAGTGTGTAGGTATAGTAGGCCTATACGATGAACTGTTGTGTGTTATAGGTACTGATCACTGGGTTTGAGTGCACTGGATATAAATATTATATATAAAATGTAAGTGTATTAAACATGGATATGGAAAGCATCACTTGTCCACACCTATCCCAGCTAGAACCTTTAATGAGAAAACCTAACTCAGTCTCATGAATCCATCAAATCTATTTCAGCCATACTCTACTGACCTAACCCAATCCATCAAATCTATTTCAGCCATACTCTAATAACCTAATCTAATCAATCAAATCTATTTCAGCCATACTCTACTAACCTAACCCAATCCATCTAATCTATTTCAACCATACTGTACTAACCCAACAACCCATTAAATCTATTTCAGTCATACTCTACTGACCTAACCCTAACCCAATAACCCATCTAATCTATTTAAGTCATTCTGTACTGACTTAACCCTAACCCAACAACCCATCTAATCTATTTCAACCATACTCTACTGACCTAACCCTAACCCAACAACCCATCTAATCTATTTCAACCATACTCTACTGACCTAACCCTAACCCAACAACCCATTAAATCTATTTCAGTCATACTCTACTGACCTAACCCTAACCCAATAACCCATCTAATCTATTTCAGCCATATTGTACTGACCTAACCCTAAACCAACAATAAATCTAATCTATTTAAGTCATTCTGTACTGACTTAACCCTAACCCAACAACCCATCAAATCTATTTCAGCCATACTCTACTAACCTAACCCAACAACCCATCTAATCTATTTAAGTCATTCTGTACTGACCTAACCCTAACCCAACACCCCACAAATCTATTTCAACCATACTCTACTGACCTAACCCTAACCCAACAACCCATCTAATCTATTTCAACCATACTCTACTGACCTAACCCTAACCCAACAACCCATCTAATCTATTTCAACCATACTCTACTGACCTAACCCTAACCCAACAACCCATCTAATCTATTTTAGCCATACTCTACTGACCTAACCCTAACCCAACAACCCATCTAATCTATTTCAGCCATACTCTACTGACTTAACCCTAACCCAACAACCCATCTAATCTATTTCAACCATACTCTACTGACCTAACCCTAACCCAACAACCCATCTAATCTATTTTAGCCATACTCTACTGACCTAACCCTAACCCAACAACCCATCTAATCTATTTCAACCATACTATACTGACCTAACCCTAACCCAACAACCCATCTAATCTATTTAAGTCATACTCTACTGACCTAACCCTAACCCAATAACCCATCTAATCTATTTCAACCATACTATACTGACCTAACCCTAACCCAACAACCCATCTAATCTATTTGAGTCATACTGTACTGACCTAACCCTAACCCAACAACCCATCTAATCTATTTCAGCCACCATGTCGAGCACTAAAACCAAGAAGAAACAGCGGACTAGAACACAGCGCTACACATCCAATGTGTTTGCCATGTTCAATCAAGCACAGATACAAGAGTTCAAGGTCAGATAGAGTTAACTGTTTCTTTCAGTCAAACTTTAAAGATTTATTGATTTCTTAATATTTTTTATTGATTTATTTTTAAATAGATTATAATATAATATCTAAATCTGGTAGTTTATTTTCCTATATGTTAAATGCTTTGTTCAACTTCAATGTTTGTTTAGTTGTTTTTTTTATGTTTATACAAAAAAAATTAACTTACTTAATGCACAATTATTTTATTTTATTTTTCAACTGGATTTGACATGATTTAGATACCCATCTAACATTTTAAGTTTAAGCCTATATTCCAATGCTACTTTAACCTCACATATGTCAAAAATTGGAATATATTAGAAAATTTTTTAAATACCATTGAAAATTAATATATAAAATAAAGCATTCTTTTCCAATATTTTTCTCATTATTTCACTTTAACTCTTAAATTTAAGGGCCTTTAATTAATTGGTTAAAATAAAAGTTTCATTATTAAAAAAAACCAGAAGATTTATTAACAATATAAAAAATTTCTTTCAAACCAATTTATAGCAAAGGTTTTAATTATCAACCAAATGGTATCTAAAATTTAGAAACAAATTTATTTTTCCATTTAAATTTTTCAGAAAGCTTTAAATAAGATAGACTAAAAACTTCTCCAGGTAAATTTTGTAGCTACTGATAAGACTGACATCATCAAATAACATCAAAAGATTTAGAAAATTTTTAAAAAATTTTCTCTCAAGTAAATCTTTTAGCTTTTGATAAGATTGACCAATATAACTTATCAGGAGGTTTAGTAACATAGTTTTAAAAAATTTTCTCATGTAACTTTCCAGGAAGCTACAAAAAACTTCTCCATATAAATATTTTAGCTTTTGATAGATTGACCAAGTAACTTATCAGAAGATTTGGAAATATTTTTTGTTTTAATTTTTCTCATGTAACTTTCCAGGAAGCTTTTAATATGATCTACAAAAAACTTCTTCAAATAAATGATTTAGCTTTTGATAAGATTGACCAAGTAACTTATTAGAAGATTTGGAAATATTTTTGTTTCAATTTTTCTCATGTAACTTTCCAGGAAGCTTTTAATATGATTGACCAAAACCGAGACGGGTACATCGACAAGGAGGATCTGTTTGAGATGTTCACATCCCTGGGCAAGAACCCAACTGATGACGATCTGGACGTGATGATCAACATGGCGCCAGGCCCTATCAACTTCACCATGTTCCTCACGCTGTTTGGTGAAAAACTCAACGGAACTGATCCAGAGGAGGTCATTAAAAATGCTTTTGCTTGCTTTGACGACAGAAACATAGGTGAGTTAATTAGTCTAAGTTAATGAGTATGCTTTGTGGGACAGAGTGGTCTGGCGGTAGAGAGCTGGACTGCTAACCCGCAAGTCTTGAGTTCGAATCAAAGTCACTAGACCGTCCCTGAGTCCACCCAACTCACGTTAGGGAAAGTAAAGGCGGCTGGGAATAGTGCTGACCACACTATCTCTTCATGTGCAGAGGTCACAGAAACAAGTGAACTCCACTTGCCCTATAGACTGTCAGGTTTGAAAAGGGAAACTTTACTTTTTAATGAGTATGCTTAAGTAGCTAATGAGTTGAGGTGATGATCAGCATTTAAGAGTAAATAAAATCAAATGAGTTTAAAAGGTTAAGTTAATTAGCTGGGTTAATGATATGAGTTGATTATCTGTGCTTATCAGGTGAGTTCATTAGTAAGGATAATAATTTTCACTCATGTAATAATTAGGTAAGTAAATCACTTTATGTGTTAAGCTAATTAGAGGAGGTAATGTCTGAGGCTAATGAGAGGAGTTAGTATCAGTAATTAGGTAGATTCATTTTAAAATTTAATTAGGTGAGACAGTGATATAATCTACTGACTTCACATTAGGCATTAGGTAGTGTTGGGGGGTGAGGAGGGGGTTATACTCTCTTAATGAACCAGGCTAATGATTACAGCTAAGAAGTTGAGTTTTTTGGTTGAATTAGTGAGTAGATTAGATAGCCAATCAATTAGTACACTAATTTACTACTACATTTCCCATTTAACTGAGTTGCTGAAATTCGACGTTCAATAAAATTTTGCAGATTTTAAGCATGGCTTTTAAGGCTTTATAATGTTCAAATCCATCAGTTTATTATTCTTTTACTGTTAGGTTTAAAAAAAACTAACTGTATACTATACTTTAATCAGCTAGTCAGAAATAATTCAAAATATTTTTGTAAACATGTAGGCCTATCTTATAAGAAAAACATAACCTATTTACATTTCTATGAGTTAGGCTAACAACAATGTATATTATAATCACTATATTTTTCTCCTATTTTTCTGGCCAACAGGTTTCATTCCAGAGGATTATCTCAGGGACTGTTTAATGACCATGGGAGACCGCTGGTCAGAGGATATGGTGGATGAACTGCTTCACGGCGCCCCAATTCTGGAAGGGAAATTTGACTACCTAGAATTCACTCGCACACTGAAACATGGAGCAAGAGAAAAGGATGATCCCCCAATCCCATTAGTAGAGCAGCAAGAGGCAGGGGAGGGTAACTCTGCAGGAACAGGAAGTTAAGAGAGAATGGTGGTAGGAATGTTGTTGACAGTTCAAAACAAACAATTCCATGTACATGAGTGCCTTACAATTTGCATTTTTTTTCATATCTCTATGGTATCTTCTTTCACTGAAACTCTTTTTGTTATATACTGTTTAAACATTTTAAAATATATTTCTTTTAAAATGATACTTAGAAAATATAATATAGTGGTATTATTTTTATAGGTAAGTTAATCCTATGCTCGATATATTTTTAATTTTATTTTTCTAATTATTATATATCAAAATGCAATCAAAACAAGTATTTTCTCTACTCTAAATAAATGCATTAAATATACTAAAATTATTGTGCACAATAATAGGCCCTAGTTGTTTTTTAATATATTTTACTATTACTTTGAGTTCAGCAAAATATTTTTATTATTATTATTAAACTGTCAATCCATGTATCAGTTATATTTAGACATAATAAAATATGTCAACATAAAGCAAATGTATCATTACTTGAGAAAAAAAATAATTTACAACTACTTTCACTACTCATTAAATACAAGTTGTTATTTTTAAATCACCTTCCAATACTGTAATATCGTAAGCCCATAAACACTGAAAGATATGCATTTGTAAAGTCACTTTCCTCTTATTAGTTTTTATTTACAGCAAAGTTAAAAACAAAAATATGATTCTGTACTACTTATATCACACATTCATAACAAAAGATACAAATTTGGATAAATCTGTCTTGCACTTTAAAAAAAAAAATGATTCCTTGCTTTCAGAGACCATAGGCTACTCTCAACACAATAACAAAAAATGTTAGTCCTCCAACAAATTGGCTCACCATTTTGTTATATATTTATCATTATAAAATTATTATATATAAAATTATATGAGTAGAAACTACTTTTCAAAAAATCATAAGCCTTTTAAAGTTTGGTCACTGTATTTAATGTAAGCAGCAAATTCAGTTTTGATAAACATCAATAAATCAACATTTTCATCACCACAGCACAAAGTTATACAACATTAAATCAAACATTACTATGCTAAGGTCTTTGAAACAGATGTACTCTACTTCATCTGCCCCAGAGAGTCTTGGGCACAAACAATAAAAGATGATGGGTCAAACATTCAAATTCCGGTCAAATAAAATAAAAACATTCTGTTTTTTAAAAAAAAATCAGAACTATAACATTGAAGACAAATGGTGTGTATTCATTTAGCAATAAAAATTGTAAACCAACCAATCTAGTTTGGTTTGTTATATCTCTTGTTATAAACTAGTTCAGACCAGCTGAATAATGCAAAAATTGTTGTTGTCCTTTTTTTCATTTAAATGGTATCAAAAAATTCTCATAAGCAAATAGTCCTAACCCTTACCACAGTTAACATTTTGTTTAGAAACTAAGTCTGGTGGATGATCAATGTTTTTTTAAGATCAATGCAGTCTATCTTCAAGATTGTTAAGGAAAAAAACTGCTTCAATTTATTTTACCACTTATTCATAACTACAGGTTAATTTAATCTCAGATTACCACATGTGGTTAACATGGCTTGTTTTCATTTTTAACTCACCAAACAGTAATAAAACAGGTAGTGGTAGTACCCTCACAAACTCAAGACAACAGTTAAGTATGAGAATACTAACACTACCTGTTTTATTATGATTCCCATAAACCTCACAGCATCAACCGTTCTATTTATGTTTTTTTTAACACACCACCAGCAGTTAAGATTAGGTCACCAACTCTATGGCTTTATTAAAAAAAATGTATCACAAAGTAGATGCCTGTTATATTAAATATGGTCACCATCAAAGGTAACAATACTAGAAGCCTACATAAAACTGTGTCATCACAGTTTATAGCAGGCTATAGAAAACCAGTGTGCTTTCCCCATTGACCTAATCATCAACACACAGTTATTTTAAACATTAACCAATGCCTGCAGGCCTAACAGGTATATGGAGGGGGGGGGGGGGGAGTAGCATTGTCCTTTATGGTAGTGGGGGGGTAGATGTAATGTGCTGAACAATTTATCCAATGCATATAACACTATACATTAAGTTCATTATCCATATTTTCTTTTAGCACCTACTGTTATTCCACTACACACAAATTTTACCATCTTAAAGTTCAGTCAAACCTAACTAAACCTCATCCCCAGAGGAGAGAAACCTGGTTAAATGTATATTGAATTTTGGTTTAATTTACATACATACTGTATTAACCATTGGCAAAATAGAATTTTCCGACACTGGTTGATAAAAAAAACCAGATCACAAATGATCCATTTTAGGCAGGTTGTACTACGACTATAAAAATAGAATCACAGCTGATCTGTGTGGTGTGACAAGAATTTGTGAAGCTGTTCATCCACACTTTTACACATGAAAAATCAAATCAAATAGAGGGTTTTTCCTAGAAGAGACGGATGATGAAAATAAATATTTTAAGTTGATGAAAGACAACATATGTTCTATTTGGTGTGTTTTTTAAATAACTGTTAAATCAATATGTCCTACACTTGGAGGAATATTACACTATACATATATATAAATATTTAGCTCTATATTAGTATACTACTGCGTATGTTATTTACATGTAATAATAATATATATATATATTTATATGGTTCCTAAAATATTTTACAAATCATAAGCGACTTTTTAGGAACTTATCACAAAATGAAAGCTCAATGATTATATCACAAGAAAAAAAAAACACTTATCAACCGCTATTCAAAATTATTCAATGCATTCAACTCATCCTGGCACAAAATAAACTTCTGTATAGATGTCGGCAGCCCAAGAACCTGACATTCCGCTACAATGTTTGTCGTTAAACACTCTCGAACTTTTCTACGACACATACTCTGCAAAGAATCCACCCGTAAAAAAGCGCCAACTAAATATTTATGCAGAAGAACGTACGGTTTACAGTACTCCAAGATCCACCTGTAATGTCTGAAACTGCATCCACAAGCAATCAACACCTCCACCATCACACGATCCGCCTTGATGAACGCTATAATTAACGGCGTTTCATCCTGCTGCACTTTATAACCAGTCGCAGCCAGATTGTACCTAGAGTTCCTAACCCTGACATGGAGATCACAGTTGTGAAGGATTAGCCATTTCACCAGCCAGTAACTGCTCATCTCCACAGCTTTCTGCAGGCATGTCTTGCCCTCCGCCCCCACCGAGTTGATATCCGCGCCAAACTCCAGCAGCAGATCCAGGCATGCCAGGATGTCACCCTGACGAGCCTGTGTCGCTGTGAATGTCTGATGCAGAGCGGTGTCGCCGTGGGAGTCGGTCAGTAACATGTCACAGTTGGCTTCTAATAGGATCTGGGATATAAAAAAATTACATGGAAGTGCCTATACAATATAAGCATGTCTGACGAGTCTTCTACTCATGTTTATGCAAGTAAAATTAAAAGATATTTTAAAAAATATAATCATTAGGTCTTTTTAAACAAAATAAAAGTAAAGTTCGTCTTTCAGACCTAATAGATAAAGTTCATTTGTTTTTTGAACTGGCATTATGGCATATAAAGGGATGATGTAGTCAGTACTATGCCCAGCCACCTTTACTTTCCCTAATGTGAGTCAGGCACCCATCATAGCTGGGTGGACTCACCTTTTAACCATCAGGACAAAAACAAGAGATGAATTGTACATGTTTAATATTCTAGGTTTTCAGCACTAAACTACTTCTAGTCTTTTGACCATCAGATATTAAAATTGTACACACATTTAATACTCAAGATATTCAGCTCTAAAAAACATAGACATAAAAGGGGCAAAACTTTACCCGTAGACACTTTGGTCTCCCGCAAGCAGCCTCCATTAAGGGTGTTTTACACTCAACATCACATACATCTTTGTCAATGTTTTTTATGGAGAGAAGGAATTTTAACATTTCTTCATTTGATACCTGAAAGAAATATAAAGCAATTTATCATCAATTTTAACTGTTTAAAGTTTATGGTCAACAGTTTTGTAATATATACTGGACTACATCTAATTTCTAACTGTAAACAGAAAAAATGTGGTTTTGTCAAGTAAAAAAATTTGCATGGATAACTAATACTTATACTGCTTCATGTAATAAAAAACAAAAAAAACTGACACAGAAATCTATTACTTTTACTGATAAATCATTACATGTAACACACCTCCCAAAAAATTGGCATGGAAAACTCTTATTTTTATTGATACATGATACATAAGCTCAAAACGTAGGCACAAAAATCTGTTTCTTTTTATTGCTTCATCATGTAGCATAAACCCATAAAACTGGCACAGAAATCTCTTACTTTTACTGATACATGCAGCATAAACCCAAAAAGTGGCATGAAAATCTCTTACTTTTACAGCTTCATGCAGCATACACCGCCCTCGAAACATCATATTTACATCAGCACCTTCAGTTATTAACCCCATAATGACATCTTTGCGGTTCATATGTATACATCTCTAGTTCAGTGAAAAAGAAAATCACATTTAGACTCTAAAGTATCATGATTTAGAGGTTTAACTTAGGCATATAAAATTTCATTTTCATTGGCATCTGTACTGAGAGGTTGTAAAAGTAAAGTTATTTTCAACTTAACTATTTTTTTTAAAAAAAGCACTGAACAGTGAGTAGATAATAATAGTTGCATCAAAAAGTAATTCATTTTTAATACCATTAAACAATACGAGCAGACCCGGGGCATATCATACGCCACTATTTAGTTGTTTTATTTTCTACTTTTCAGTAATTCATAATTAGTGAATTCAACTGAACCAATGCTGCCACTGAATATATTTGCTTTAAAACACTATCAGTATCTCGTTAAGGACAATAACCCCCCCCCCTTTTCCAACCCCTACCCCACCCACCCTCACAGTGAAAGCAGCCTCCTCTTAGTCTTAGTTACCTCCCCTAAGTTTAAAATCGTTTCAAACTAAATTATCTGCCCCTAATAGCCGTCACTAAACCCGGCTCTATGATTGTGAACATTTAGCGTGAACCACAGCTCACCAGACCATGTAGGGGTGGGGGTGGTAGGGAGCGCGCTTACAGCTTGGTGTTTTCTAGCATCTCCAAGAAGAGAATTATATATATAGATGGTATTTCTATGATCTCTAGTAGGATAATATAAGATTAAGGTTTTTAATCAACCTGTGATGCTGTAAGTGTAAGAACTAGGCTCAAGGGAGTAATACCATCACAGGCCTGTTATAGAACCACAAATAAAACAAGAAAGACAACCAAGCCCTTACAAAAAACGTCAGCCCAACAATGGGAGATAAGATGAAGCCAGGATGTGCCGACTCGATGTCCCTGACCAGCATCTGGAACTTTTCTTCATGGCAGTCTTGTTTTTTGAACGCGTGGGAGAAAAACCACAATGCCAGGTCATGACCCCTGTGTTTGGGAGTATCACTGAAGTAAGGATCTGCATACCCGCAATGCATTTTATGCACAACTCTTTAGAAACAGTGGATTACATGGACTCCAGATATATAATAATTTTATTTAGTATTATCTTGATATTGGCATTCTTCACCTGAAAATAATAAATGGATCATTTTAATAAAAAATTTGTTTAGGCCAAAAATTAGGCCTAGAAGAATCTATTGATTCTATTCGCTTCTAGATCTATACTATATATATTCTATTTCTACTACTACCTACTACTAGATCTAAATTATTAAAATTAACAAGCTAACACTAACACGAATACTAGATCTAATACTAATACTATACTTTACTAATATAATAATAGTAATAATAGGCTATTCATTCAGTATTAGGCTAATTATAGTAATTAATTATTAATTGGAATGAATAGACTATTGAATAGGCCTATTATAGTTATACTATTATTACTATTAATAATATTAATATTATTTTCAATTTCATCAAAATGAGAAAATGAAATAAAATGCAAGCAGCAATTTTTGCCAATAGATTTTCATTAGAATAATGCAGGCCTATCTATTAATGATTCTAATCTAAATACTAATAGATAGGCATTTCGACTTCCGCTGTTTCGATTCGGTACAACCACATCCTGACTTTTTCATCGTACTTGTTGAAATTCGCCATTTTTTAACATGTTAATTCTCGCCATCGGAATCGAAGAATAAAATGTATTCGATGTGAATATTTGAGTTGAATTTCATCTTTTATACATACTAATAAATGAATTAGCTCCCGTTTTACATTGTCCGATACCGAAAGCGATCACCGATAATAGCAAATATTTGTCGAAATGCCGACGCTACCGAACTGGCGCATTGACAACTAAATTTCAGATATAAATAATCCTTTAAGTTGCATGAAAATAGGCTTAAATAGCATGCCAACCATTTGGATAAATAGAAATGTCGATTTGAAGGGTTTTTAAGCACGGGCCAATGAGGAGTAGCGCGATAAAACTCGTAGGGGTAGGAACGACAAAGCATGCGTAATTTCATAATGGCGGCCGGGCTACGAGATATTAATAGATATGCGCATACGATGTTTTTTAATAGCTGTTTGTTTTTAAATGGACTGTTACAATAAAATGGGCTTTAAAATAAATATAATGTAGATCTAAATTATTAGATTAAAAATGGAAAGAATGAAATTAGGCCTAATTGCTGCCTAAATAAATTATAAAATTTTAAATTAGCCAGATTTTTATTAACCTTCTTAATACCAGGTTAACTAGATCTAGCAAACTAGCATTAACCAATTGCAGATAAATAGATTATAAAGGCATTTTTAAGTAGAAAAAAATCTATATTTATTGTAAACAGTTTAAAAAAAATAGAATCTAGATCTAGATCTAAATGGAAATGAAAACACTAAAACAATAATGGGTCTAGAGATGTGTAATTATATAATATTATATATATATATATATATATATATATATATATATATATATATATATATATATATATATAAACTATTAGGCCTTAATGTAAATACTGACAGGCCTATCTGTAGTATCTAGATCTATAAAGTACTATAAAGGGCCTAAATTAAAAATAATAATGCCCAATTTTATAAGCTGCACTGCATTACAGTTTTAGTTAAAGGCAACTATAATAGAAAGAAAACATGAACACTTTAATTAATCGATTAATGTCATTTAAGAATTTATCAAAGGATACGTCAACTTCACTAAACATTTTATAAATAAGAATACTGTGAAATGTCAATCTTTGAGTTTTAGCACACCTCAACACTTTTCATCAGAAACATTACAAGAACCAAAATTTTCTAAATTAATAATAACATTTTTACCATGTTATACAAGGACACAAATCTAATGTTTATGGCAAATCGTTAAGTATCTTGATCATATTGTGCTGTATTTGACTTGTAAGTTCTAACTCTATACATTACCTGTACAATATGTATACTAGCATTCTTATTACTAACACCAGAATCAATATGTAAAGTTTAATCTTTATTTTTATAGTAGCAACAAAGAAGTGTAACATATTAGCCTGTAGTTAATCATCATAGTCTAATTGCGCTGTACCATATTCAAGTTCACTATTTATAGTTTTCCTCTAGCTATGTTTATTTTACTTGCATGATTGTATTTTTTACATGCTCTAGTCCTAATATATAAAGTTTCATGATGGTATATGGAATAGCAACCTAGCTGTGCAGTCTGGAAATCCTCTTATGGCAGTCACTATTGAACAGTGCCACACCCCTTAATTTAACTTCATTATTTCTAGTTACCTCTTTTCTAATTTTTTTTTATTTGTAGACTTCTATTGCCTATATCATTGAGTACAAATGTGCAAAGTTTTATCATTATATCTTTAATAGCAACATTGGTATGCAAGTTTAAAGCCAATCACACGTCTGGAATGCAGGTTACAATGAAACATAACAAGTTAAACACATAACTTTGAAAATTCATATAAAAAAAACTATTAGGCCTAGAATGATAAATTTGATATTTTTATCAATGGGGTATATTATAGGATTAATCTGGGTCCATTTTATCATTCTATGATAATTAGGAAAAATTTCCCAATAGGCCTACTAATAGATCTAGGCCTATATCTATCTATTGATCTATTTATTATATCAACTACTTGACATTTTACTTATTGCACTTACAGCAACATTACATTATTTCAATGATTTTTAGAATCTTTATTCTAGAAGTGCTAAAATTAACCCTATAAATTCAATAAAATCAAATCAAATACGGAAGGAGACATTGGATATACTTTTTGTATGTATGATACATTGTCCCACTAAATGTCTGATTCTAACTAAAGTGACCAGAATGATATTTTAAAATCTTTAAAGGCTGGACTAACTAAGTTACCGTTACATAAATTCTTAATATTTATATTTCCTAAACTAATCTAGATCTGGATCTAGATTACGCCGGAAGAAAGTTTAAACCAGTTGTGTCGACTTATTTATTATTTATCCTTTTATATAGCCATTCAAAATATAGCCATTCAAAATATAGCCTATAGGCTAGATGACACTGCTATGGAACGACTAACAAATTTAAACCAAATTTACATGTGAATTGGGTATCTTGGGGGGTAAGTTGGGGGAGTCTTAATCACCTATATAATAATAATACTACATAACATATTTCTAAGCCCGCCTCCCCCCCCCCCCCCCCCCACCCCCACCCCCCCACCTTGCCTCAATTTAGTCTGGGAATTGATTTAACAATAAATAGCTACGGGAAATTAGTAATTTAGTACAACCGCTAAATTTAAAAACCATAAACAAAACAACTTTTAAAAGGAACACGAAACGACGTTGATAGGGAAAGAATCACGAGGTAAACAAATAAATTGCAAAACTACTAGATTCTAGATCTAGAATCTAGATCTAGACTAGTCTAGATCTAAGTTAACATTAGGCCCAATCAAATATTATTTTATGTAAGCTTGTTAAAATATTGGTAATCTATCGTTTTAGGTAGGCCTCTAGGCACTAGGATTGGCCTCCCGATTCTCGCTGGGCGGCGTATTTTTTCTCCCGTTACCGACTGGTTTGCGTGTGCGGCTACGCGAAATCGACGGTTTAGTAAATTTTTTTTCTGTCCGTTATTGAACGGTCAAATTTAATGTGAACATTGTTTTTCTACTTAAAAATGGACCTAGCCTGGCTTTTTGTCTTTTGTTTTTATTTTCATGGATTATTCAAAATGGAGTTTTTCATTGAAAATAAGGTAAGCTCGATTTATTCTTTAAAATTAACTATTGGACGCATGTCTTTTTTTATTGATTGCTAGAGTCCCTACACCATTTTCCTCTATCATACTGAAATTTGAAAGTGTTTGGATGCAGCTCATAGAAGTTATATGCTGCCCCGTGGGGTGTATGGTTTAGCGCTGTCTTGTGCTTACTTAGAAAGCAAAAGTGAAAAACCGGAAGGAGTCGGGTCTCTTTATTTCTTAATACTTTACGCTTACACGAGAGGAGCATGATTATGTGATGTGTAGGGTCTACTCACTGTATTGTGGGTGGGGAGAGGGGGTGGGGGGGCTTTGCTTATTGCATGACGTCATACGGTGTTAAGCGTAATCATGTGTAAAGACGACCATTAACTAGGATTTATTAGATTGTGGGCAAGATAGGCGTATCAACTTTGACTGTTTTTTTTTTTTATTTTATATTTGGAACATCGTAATTTGTAAACTTATTATTGTAGGTTTTTTTTTTATATACAAATCGCATAGGCCCTAGCGTGTTTTATTTTTTTAACTGTGTTCACCGGGAAACGGTCAATGACCATCCTATTTGACGTCACAGAATTACGGGTGAAAGTGAGGTCAAGTTTTGGCTTTTTCTGATGTGCTACGTGGGTGAGGGTTGAGTAAATGTAACTTAGTAAGCATCGGTGGGCGATACAACTTGGTGACGTCATTTATGGACAATCACACCACCCCCCCCCCCCCCCCCCCCCCGCTGATAGGTACAAAGACTTTACTACATTTTTAAGTTTCTCACCGCCAGTGTTTGAATGTAAACTTTGTAGCGCCGTGCAGTTTTGGTGTTATCACTGTAGTCTGGGCGACAAAGCTGTTTTATCGTGAGCATTAATGACGCGAGCGCTTAGCCACGTGCCTTATTGATGAGCGGTTTTGTCGGGGATTTCAGTGTCGGCTTTGTCGGGGATTTCATTGTCCGTTTTGTTGGGGATTTCAATGTCCGTTTTGTCGGGGATTTCAATGTCCGTTTTGTCGGGGATTTCAATGTCGGGAGTTTTGTCACATGGCATATGGACAGTAGCATTTTGTGGTCTGATATTTTTAAGGGAGCCTTATATCACAGGGCCATTTATTTTTAACGGGATCGATTTTTCAGGACCTTTGCCTTTAATATTGCCCTGTCGGGGTATTTTTTGATGAATGAGTATAATTTTAGGAAACAATTTTTGTACTTACCTGCCTACATTTTTATTTTGCTTTACATATGTGTTTTTATTTGCTAGTTATATTTTATTTATTGTCATGCTAATGAAGTATGTTTTATATTCCAGACAGAATATGCACTTCTAAAGCAGAGCAGAAACCATATGTAGAACAATATATTATAAATTATAATAAAGAATAAAGTTCTTTGGTGTACTCCTATAAATTGTTCATCATTACTTTTTTTACTCTAATAAAACTGCAGTTTATTTTTACAACAAGCATATTCATTGAGATTAAAATTAAAATAAATGAGGCCCAGCAAGGGACAGTATTTGAGCCAGCAGTGAAGAAAAAGTTATTTCTTTTCAAATTGACAAATGTTCTTTAGAAATGCAAAATATTTTGGTATAAATCAGAAACATTATTATAAACATAATTAAACTAAATCTTCATTTAAAGTAGTGTGGTTATGACTATGCCCAGTTGTCTTCAAAATCCATAGAATATCAGGTACTCATTACAGCTGGGTGGACTCGGGGATGTCCTATCAACCTCAGTCCGGGATCCGAACTTGAGGCTTAAGGTTAACATTTGGGCGTTCTATCATCTGACCATGTCATCCCTTCATTTAATTACAATCACTGAATCAATCAGACTGACTAAGGGTCTTAAACAAAGTTAAATGATTTGCCATCAATGTAACATCAACATATATATTTTCACTTTTGGAACAATGATAATGATAATCATTTACATAATTACAATGTGAGTTGTATCAATTCTTCAGCTCAATGAAAAGAAAAACATACCTGTATGATAATTATTTAGTTAGTATTAATAGACACACTTTTAGAACTTCATTCAAGCAAGCTCTGTGCTTGATATTTTTAATAAATAGATAGAACTCACACTCAGGTTGTGCGAAAAGTTTTTGGTTTTTAAAAGGGGGGTACCTTCTTCAACCATATATTTCTGGCAAACAGATGGAGTCAAAACCAGAATTTTGATTATTTCTTTTGTAGTATACAGTTATCTAAAGTTAAGCAAATTTTGGAACTTAAATGCTCAGTAGTTTAAATTTGCCATAATTTTGTATTTCACATAAACCAGACTTCGGTTTTGTAGAATCGCATGATTTATCAGCTTTGCATCATGATATACAAAAATCTTTCATGCTATGATCAATATTTTGATATTATTCATTGACACACCCATAGTTACTCATTTTGAGTTATTTTAAGCTTAATATTTCAAATAGTTAAAATTTAAACTGTGGTTGTATGAAAGCACTGCATGTAGTTTACAGGCTATGATCATTTTAGTGCACACTAAAAAAATCTTGATCACAAAAATTAAAAAAATCCTATGTTAAAAAATGCACCTTTTTTAATAGGAAAAAAAATCATAACTTTTTAACCGTTAGAGCTACATCAAAAAGGAAAACTGTTCTGTGATTCTAATTTTTTGCTCCTTTTACCTGCAGTCATTGTTTTGCAATTAAACCATATTTGAAATTATATCCTAGTACCTAGCCTAGGCCTACGTACTAAAATCGCCCGCGACTAGATCTAGATCTAGAATTCTAGATCTAGTTAGTGTAGTTATATTCTAGTAATGTGAAAAACAGGTGACTCAAATTTTAATTTTTAATAATCAATATTATTGAAATGTGAGATGATTATTGATTCAATAATCATTTCACATTTTGAGGTGAGGAGGATCTAGATCTAATTCCGATCATTTATGTTTTGAAAAATACAAAAATTAAAAAAAAGTGTTTCATTTATGTTATGTAGATCTACTGATCTAGATCTACCTGTTTTTAAACAATTGAATTAAAACTTTTCAGTAATAAATGAAGACTAGCGATGTTTCCAACATATACAACCATGCTCATTATAGCAGCCATCTTAAGTTTTTGTTTGTAAACTTATAGTGCAAGATTCAGGGGAAGCCACTCTATTTTACAATTGGCTGTATAGTGTATAGCAAATCTTGCTCGCACACACTGCTGTTTAAAGTTAATTTCTGGCCTATATTGATATATTTACTTATTTAGCCATTGATTTAGGTTTATTATTCATTTATCTATAATATTTGACACAAATATATCACAATATATTTCTATTAAAGCCTTGACAATGAGGTAACTTTTTCGTACATAACTAGCCGCAGGCGGTTTTACGTACCTAAAATGATAGATTACGGACTAGACTATCCATGAGTCCACCCAGCTCTGATGGGTACCCAACTCACCTTAGGAAAAGTAAAGGTGACTTGGCATAGTGCTGATCACGCTATCCCTTCATATGCTGAGGTCACACTCACAGAAACAGGAGAACTCTTTAACTCTCTATTCACTTGCCCCATAGACCGGCAGGTTTGGAAGGGGAACTTTGCTAATTACTAACCTTTAGTTAGACTAGTTACTACTAGCTAAATTTCTTTGACCCGGGCCCATGCTGATGGCTGTTTTCCTAACACAGTAACACCAAACACACACTGGGCCTTAATGTTACATGCAATTAAATATTAAGCTATTTTGTAATAATTTATGTGGGCCTATATTATGCAGAGGTGTCGCGAGGCGGGGGCGGAGGGTACAGACACCAGGGGAAAAACCTTTTAGGGAGGTGACAGTGAAAGCTGCAAAATATGTTGAAGAAATATACTTTTTGTCAGCTCAGTTAATGATTAATTAGAGTTAATCCACATATATTAGGCCTAATAAGTGACTATAGATAAACATCTTTACTATTAACTGTACACTCTTTAAAAATATCACCCGAGGGTGGGGGAGGGGGAGAGTGTAGCACCAACTACAAACTTTACAGAGAAAAAAATGTTTTCTTGAATATTTTGAATAACTGATCAGTCAATCAACGACTGGGGAGGGGATGACACCAAAAATGTAATCATTTACGATAAAAACAATGCTTTTTCCACATGAATGAATTGGTGGATTAACATAACGAGTGCTCAAATTGAAGACATTAGGCAAAATGGGAGGGGTAACACCAATTGCAACTTTAGATATAGGCCTATGTAGACCTTATATATATATATATATATATATATATATATATATATATCATCATCGCTCCTTTATGGCCCCTGGGGAGCAAAGGGCTGCAACCACACATCTCCAGTGGACTCGGTTTTGGGCTGCTCCTCTAATCTGTGCCCATGAGAGCCCAGCTGTTTTTGCCTCTTCCTCAACCGTTCTCTTCCATGTTTTCTTTGGTCGGCCCTCCTTTTCCCCTGGGGATTCCAGTCCAATGCATGTTTTGCGATGTTTTCTTTTTCTTTTCTTAACGTGTGTCCAATCCATCCCCATATATATATATATATATATATATATATATATATATATATATATATATATATATATATATATATATATAAATTGGGGGGAGGGGGTGACACCATGAGGAGCCGCACCGGGTGACACCCGACCTAGCGACGCCACTGCCTATAATATGGCATATTTTAGGCCAGAACAGATTATTATCTCAATGAATATTTTTTTAACTTTAATTCTAAAATATATTCTGTTGTTTTTTTTAACAGAGGCTCAAAAATATTACTTAGTCTAAAGTCAGTCATCTTATAAACATGCCAACTGACACCAAGCGTATTACTGGGCCAGAGTCTTCTCAGAGCCCATATGATTACTGTCCTGCTCCCTCATTAGATTTGGTAAGTATTTACTGTTTTACAATTCCCTACTTAGCCTTCAGAACTATATCATTTAATTAAATTTTTATTTTACTGTGTGAATATTTATAGAATACTGTTTTTTTTTTTTTAACATTACATTAAAAAACTATGCTTGTTTTCCATTTTATGCCAATATTGTTTTGTTTTTTTTGTTTAGAAAAATCTGAAGGGCAAGCGTCATGATGAAAGATCAAACAGTCAGTTACGCCCCTTGTGTAAGTTGTTTCTTTTGCTGGATATTTGTATTTAATGTTGATCATATTTCTTTACTATTTCTCTAACTTCTGTTCATTCACTTATCAATTACTTTCCCTTTGTTCTTTTAAATGTCTGAGAAAAGTCTTGAAAATGTTTAACCTTTTGTTTACTAATGCTGTTTGAATATTTTAAATTTAGTGCACATTTATAAATGTAAAAAAAAAATTCTTTATATTATGCACCTAGTTTCAAAGAACTGTTTTAAAGATTTCCAAGTCTCTTCTTTTGTTCAACATAATATTTGAATGACAAAATAAAGAAGATACAGTAATGTACTATTTAAAAAAACCAAACTTAACTTTTTTTATCCAGTTTTGCGAGCAGGCGTAGTAAGCCATGCCAGAGGGTCTGGGTACATTGAGATGGATCAAACTAAAGTTATATGTGCTGTGTAAGTATTACTTTACTTTTTTAGCGCAATTTCCATTCTGGAGAATTGCGTTTATTAACCCGTCATTTCTGGATGGATGGATGTGTGTTCGCAGCTTTAAGTCGTATCTCCTCCTCAACGAAGCAATATCGAGGACTAGTTCCAAAAGCAATTATGTTAAGCAAGTTACGAGGATGATAGAGGGCCAAAAAAATTCTGGAATTCCTTCCTGGATTTCCCAGAAAAGCCAAAAAACCTTTAAAAAATGCAGTTTTTGGCCCATATCTCAGCAACCAGACCACTTAGCGACTTGAAACATTTACCAATCGATTCCTGCCATAATTTAGAACAATATTGCCAAAGAAAGTTTTCAAAAATATCCTTTCGTTCGGTCACAAATTTTTTTTTAAACTTACATTAAACATAATACACTACAATACTATATAGCAATATAGTTATATGACTAAAAACCATTGTGCGCCTACTGAACTTGATAGCGCATCTATTGAACGTGATGACGATTTAAAATTGTTATGGATAACATAAGGAAATTGCGCTTAAATTGTCACTAGACTTTTTAATTAACTTGTTTTTATTGTAAATTTGTATTGTGATGTTATACTTTCTCAGTTCCCATCCAAGTTAATTATATAGATACAAATATAATGATTGGTGTTTAGTAAAATGTATTTAACATATTTTTTTAGTATAGCATTACTGATAATAAAGTAACATAGGCTAGCACAAGTCAACATATTAAAAATTGTGTATTGTGGTTTTATTTCTCTTTATTAATATAACCTGACATATGTTAACGGATTGATTATATTGATTAATTTTTCGTGCTAATTTTAATATCATTTTTAAAAAACCCAACTGCAAACTTTCTCTATAATCCAAAACTCAGGTTTTTATTTTGGGAAATAAATCCATGGATATAAATACTTAAATGCTGCTGTAATTTCAATTTCTAGATATGGTCCCAGAGAGGTTCTTCGAAGAGAAGATTTCAGTTTGAAAGGCCAGTTGACATGTGACTTCAAATTCACAACATTTTCCTGCCGCAAGCGTAGACAACATCAACAAGATAACCAGGAGAAGGATTTGTCATTGCAGATACTGGAGGCCCTGGAGCCAGCTCTTTGTCTGGTGTGTGGTTGTCTCTGGTGTGTCTGTGTGGTGAAATGTGGGTGCTGTTGATGTGGTGAAATGTGGGTTATGTTGGTGTGGTGAAATGTGGGTGCTGTTGATGTGGTGAATGTAGTTGCTGTTGGTGTGGTCTAATGTGGGTGTTGTTGGTGTGATGTGATGTGGTGACTGTTGGTGTGGTCTAATGTGTTTGTCTTTGTTCTAGTGTAATGTGGGTTATGTTGGTGTGGTGAAATGTAGTTGCTGTTGGTGTGGTGTAATGTGGTTGCTGTTGGTGTGGTGTAATGTGGTTGCTGTTGGTGTGGTGTAATGTGGTTGCTGTTGGTGTGGTGTAATGTGGTTGCTGTTGGTGTGGTGTAATGTGGTTGCTGTTGGTGTGGTGTGATGTTGGTGTGGTGTAATGTGGTTGCTGTTGGTGTGGTGTGATGTTGGTGTGGTGTAATGTGGTTGCTGTTGGTGTGGTGTGATGTTGGTGTGGTGTAATGTGGTTGCTGTTGGTGTGGTGTAATGTGGTTGCTGTTGGTGTGGTGTAATGTGGTTGCTGTTGGTGTGGTGTAATGTGGTGACTGTTGGTGTGGTGTAATGATGGTGCTGTTGGTGTGGTGTAATGTGGTTGCTGTTGGTGTGGTGTAATGTGTTTGTCTTTGTTCTAGTGTAATGTGGGTGCTGTTGATCTGGTGAAATTTGGTTGTCTCTAGTGTGTGGTGTTATGTTGTTGTCTCTAGTGTGTGGTGTTTGTTGTCCCTGGTGTGTGGTGTAATGTGGATGTTGTTGGTCTGGTGTAATTTGGATGTCATGGTGTGTGGTGTTTGTTGTCCCTGGTGTGTGGTGTAATGTGGATGTTGTTGGTCTGGTGTAATTTGGATGTCATGGTGTGTGGTGTAATGTGGTTTTTCACTAAAACATTCTCATTCCCTACACAGTTGTACTACAATTTATCTTTTCAACAGCTTACATTCCATTGTTTATTATTACAGCACAAATACCCTAAGTCGCAAATTAACATTTATATAACAGTTCTACAAAATGATGGATGTGGTAAATATTTTCTTTTAAATTAAATATTTTTACGTGTTTTAAATATCAAATCTAACCCAAACTTGTTGAATTTAAATTAATATTTTACATATTGAACTAGGCATTGAATTTTGCTACTATAAAGTAATTTTTGAAGATTTATTAGAGTATTATGGTATTATATTATAGTTTTAATTATACAGATACAGAACAACTTAGAATTAGGGTTTGGGTTCAGTTTAGTTTCTAAATTATTAAAGGATATTAGTTACTAATATAGACAACTGATCTAACGCCATTCTTTGTCATATAAAAATAAGAACATATTGTTTCCTCATTAGCACTGTCAGCCTCTGTAATTTGTGCCTCACTAGCTCTGGCCTCAGCTGGTATAGAGATGTATGATTTAGTCCTTGCTTCATCTCTGGTAAGTGATCCATCAGTTTAATGCATAAATTTAATTCGTTCTCAGGTCACTTGGTATGCAGGAAAATACTGCATCATTTCCTAACTCTTTTTTTTTCTGCCGTCGGTGTAGATAAACTAACAAAAAAGAACCTTTATTTAAATGTTTTGCTAATGCTCTTTATTACCAGGGGATTAATTTACCTCAAGATAGAGTAGCTTCCCTTTTTGTTTAACAATGTTTAGAGCACGGGTTCCCAAACTGGTCGCCAACTGGTATACTAAACCTCAGTAATGAGAAACAAAACATAAATATTTAGAAGAATATCTGAAATTCGGCTTTACTAACATCACTGGAAATGAAATAGAGAAGAAGCAATGTGTACTGTACAAAGTTGTTCTGTCACGAGTTTATGAAATCTTCAAAACTAAAACGTCATTTGAGACGAGTCATAAAATATATGGAGGCTTTTCGTCGGCATGAAGCTAGCTGCAAACGTCAGAGACTTGATCAAACAGGAAGTTTTCACCAATGAAGTACAGCATTAGTGCAAGCATCACATGAAGTCGCGATAGAAAATGCCAAGCAAAAAAAAAAACACAATAGGAGTAAATCTCATCAAACGCTGCATGTTGAAGATGGTGAAGTTAATTGTTGGGGATTCCAGTGCAGTAAAGATGCAACAAATATCACTGCCTAATAATACTATTCAGCGACATATAGCAGACATGTCCGTAGATGTTAAATAACACATTATTATTGAAATCAAGCTTTCACCATTGTTTGCTTTTCAAGTTGATAAATTCACAGACGTGAGTTCGTGTTCGCAGTTGCTGGTCTGTGTCTATATTCATTCAGATGATAGCAAAGAAGAGTTGCTATTTTGTGAAGATAGCATGGAGAAAATAAATACGTTTTTTGAAACTGGATGATTAAAATGGGTTAAAACGGCTGTGGGGGTTTGTATGGATGGTGCGCCATCTATGTTTAAGTCAAAATCGGGATTTCAGAAAACAGTAAAGATTTAACTCCCTAACCACTGCCCTCGCCATCAAGACTCCATTGCTAGTAAAAGTCGTAAATTATATTAAATCTGGAGCCTTCAAAGAACTGAGTAAAGACATGAATAAAGATGACGAGGTTCTGCTTTTCTACACTACAGTATGCTGGCTGTCAAACAAAATGTTGTGAATCGTGTTTTTTTATTGAAATCTGAAATCAAATTGTTCTTGGAAGTGCAAAGGAAACAAGACTTTTGGTATACTTAAAACGACAAAGAGTGGTTGGAGAGAATATCATACCTAGCTGATGTATTCAAACGTAAGCATAAGCTTAACCTGAAGCTTCAGGGAAAATTGTCGAATATTATCACTTTCCATGATAATCTCGGGGCATTTTTATCAAATCTGCAAAATCGGCGAAGAAAATAAATCTTGGAAATATTATAATTTTGAGAAACTCTGTGGTGTGGTAGATGAATCTGATTGTGAGATAATTAAAATTTTGAAAGAAGCTATTTCTGGGCATCTTGAATCTCTTGAAAACGAACTGCAGCGCTATTTCTCTGAGCTGAAAAAAGAAGAATCTGCATTGACGCATTACCCATTCTCTTATTCCCTTGATGTTGCCAGCATTCCCGATGAATTACAAGATAAATTCTTTGATTTGCAGAATGATTTCGCGGAAGATGTAAAACTGCACACAGAATTTTGGTGTAATATTCACCATTTATACCCAAACGTAAAATTGATTGACTTTTCGAGAATAGATTTTCAACACTATTCTCCGATTAAAAACAAAATAAAAAATAAATTGAATGTTGATAATGACATAGGTTGGCGTTAACAAAAACTTAACCGCAAATGTTTAGAAAATAGCATGCAATTTTACTTATGTTATTAAAACATTTATTAAGAGTAGTTCGTATTGAAAGTCTACTAGAAAATCTTATTTTAGTGCTTATTAATTTCCATACTAATTTCGGCTTTTTAATTCTATAGGGGTCGCATGTCACTTATTTTTTATAAAAGGGGGTCGCCACTAAAAAAAGTTTGGGAACCACTGGTTTAGAGTGTTTGTTGTTTTCAGAGGGTAGAGAATATTTATTATGGTGTTTAGTAAAAGATTATATAAGAATATATTTTAATAATAAAGTGTTGAGGTTTTATAATAGATTCACTGTATACAATTATGAAAAAAATTATTCAATGCTATAACCACTTTAGCCAATCCTATTTTTAGTGTGTGGATTTTCTCCATTTTTGTGACCTGGTATGAGTGTGTTTGTGCAGCATTTACGTATAATGGTTTAAGGTTCATTTGAGTGTATTTGGTAAAAGATTATTTACTTTTAAACATTTTAAAGAAATGCATTTATCTGCACCAGGGTGTGTACGGATCATTAACATTGGTAGACCCAACATCATTGGAAGAAGAAACTATTCTTACTAAAGCTGTGAGTCCTAAATATTTATGTTTCCTTTATTAAATTATGCTTACTATTCACCAGTAAAGTAAATAACATAGCACAATTTAAGTTCCAATTTTAAAAGTTGATTTTAACACACAGAAACACAACCATATTAGATTGTTTTTTCTACTTTAGTTTTTATTTTATTTTAAAGTAATACAATAAAACTAATTTTTGAACACCATCCTCCATAAAGTAGCACATTCCCTTCTTTGTCACCTAGCTATTTTATGTCATTTATTGTTAAATATTAATTGACTGTATTTACTGTTAATGATGATAAAGGTTCTATTCATATTATATTATTAAGTTAGATACTTGCTTATATTCTATATAAATTAATATTAAATTTATATTTATGTAGCCCGTTTTTTCTATTATTAGGAAAAAAGTGAAAACAATGCTGGAATTGTTACAGTGGCTTTTCTCCCATCTATAAGTCAGGTGTCTGCAATAACTAGTGATGGAGAACTTCAGTTTGATGCTGTCAGCAAGGTAACACTGGTTTACTTAAATTTAACTGCAACAGTTGTGGTTATTTTGTTGGCTTAGGTTGAGCAGCAGAAGATGTAGTTACTGTTTTTATGCTAGGCAGCAAAAATTTTATGTTAAATTCGGCAAAAAAAAAATGTGCCAATATGTTTTAAAATTTTACTGTTTTTTTGTTTCAATAACAAAGGCGTTAAAATATTAAAATCTATAATGAACCTTAAATATATAAGTGAGTGACTGTAATGTATTTGTAATAAGAATTATTTTTACAAAGCATTTTGTAGTTCATCATACTGAAGTCAATCTTTACAAATTTGCCCACAGTGCATGCATGCTTGTGTTGAGAATTGCCAGAAACTGTACCCAGTCCTACAGAAGGCTTTATTTGATCATGTTAAAGAAAAGAAAGAATCAACTCACTCCTGAGTTTTCCTTCCCGTTTATGTAAATAAATGAATGCATTTTATTGGGTGGTTTTTTTCCATGTTTTTGTTACGAAATTCAGTATAGTGTGTTATTAAACTAAGTTTAAATAAATAGTGATTAAATTTTAAAGGAAGTCGCTAATCCAATGCTGAGATGGCATTATTTCTATAAGTTTAGCTATAGGTTGTAGTAAATGACCGATTTGGCAAGGAGTGATTGACCATGCTGTAGCAATTTAGAGTTACGAGACATACTATAAATGAGGAGTCTAATTGTGTCACATAAAATTGGTTTTAGTATTAAGTTTTGATAGCTAACCTAGGGTTCTGGGGATTTTTCTGTTAAAATATTAGCCTTAAAGTTGATCATTAGTAAAATGTCATAAAATTGAGTTTAGTATTTGTAAGTTATGATAGCTAACCTGAGGTTTTTTAAAAGATTAGCCTTAAAGTTATCAATAGTAAAATGTGGCATCAAGGATAATTTTATTTTTTAAGTGGGCTCTTTGTATACCTGAGATGTAATTACCACAAGAGCCTTAGGCAGATTTAGTGAAAGGGTGCCTTACATCAATTTACGAAACACATTTTTCAAGTAGGCTCTTTTAATACTTGATGTAATCGCAATTGCCTGTCATTTGCAGATCTAGTGGGCGGCCTTTATCAATTAACCATACACAACAGTAAAACAAATTGAAAAAAAAACGCAGAATTTTATCCAGTCTTTACTTGTATTAAGATATCAGTAGAGAGGATTAGATGTAAAAATTCTAATAAACAAAACAAAGTGATAAAAAATGATGGTTAAACGTGAATGGATGAAACATCTCTCAAATGGACTAAACTTCCTTGGTGTGCTTGCAACAATGGAATCTATCAACTGGAAACACATCCCCTGGTTGAAAGCACACCAGTACACACACCATAGCAGACAAGCAGGCTTTTGTGTGCTTCTCTAGTACACCAACACACTTTCAATGAAACTTGCAAAGGTTTTTTAAAAACATGAACTCTACAACTGGAATACAAACAACTGATATAGAGGGTAACTGTCTGAAGAAGAGAAGATACCAAAGCAAGCTACCATCATGGATACCTTCAAAACGAGCTGTCGGAAATGACACATCTATTCTACCGCTACACATCTATACTACTTGCTACATGTCTGTTAAGTGGAGATGGAAGAAACAATTTAAAAAAAAACAAAAAACAAGGCAATTTCACACCTAAAAATCGATTGGTAAAAAGACAAATTGTTTAACTTGAAAGATTTTTTTTTTAAAGAAACGTTATAGGCTGGTATGTAAAGAGATATCATCACAGGGGTATGAAACTTGCTAGTCTTGTCAGACACAAAATATTATCTCTAGTGTCAAATAATGCAAACCATTTTAACCTAATACAAAAGTATAAAATAGAATGAGAGCTGTAGATATATAAATAGCTTGAACCAGTCAAGTTTTTTTTTTGACAAAGCTCTACTGAGTATCAAGACTACAACAAATGAAAATTTGTATTTTGAAACAAAGGGACCACCCTCATCAAAGCGTATAATATTGACTTCATGGAGAAGATGAAGATTACAGAGAGCCCTTGAAGGTAAAAATATCACAGAACAGTAGTTCACATTGTAGTAACTTTGATTCTTTAGTGAGAAAATGTAACCTTAAAAATATGTCAACTATAAAACCAGCATAACAAAGCCATCCTTTGCATGGAATATGTAAGTCTTGGTTCAGCTTCAAGGGGAGAGAATTATGCCTGAGTGATAAGTATTGATATTTGTATTTGCAGACAATACTTAAAGCAGTGTGTTTAAGGTTTACAATATCATACGATTTCTGTTTCTTTCACTGTGTATAGGTAAATTGCTGAGCCTGGATAAAAAGGGGTTTCTTTTACACATAGGATACATACAAATTTCATCTTGGGTACTTTAAATTAAATGATAAATTTAAAAACATATAAATACAGTAATTACAGTTAGATTCTCAAATCTAATAAAGGTTACCATTTAATTGAGATTAAATTAAACCTTACGAATCATCATAAGTACAAATTGTGTCAGGAAATATACGAAGAGAGGATCAATAATTCATTGACTATCAAGCTAGGAGCGTATTGCTGTTAATTAAAATTAAAACACAATAGAAATTAAAATAATTTTTTAGGATGTTAATTTTTGCTAACAGCACTGGTTCAAAACAAAAGAATGTTTTAGACTTGTTTTTCAGATTTTCAATCCATATTTGCTCAATAATTAAAGTCGTCTATGAAATGTGAACAAAGAAAGAACAGCAAACTGCTGAAAATGGAGAAAAAGTTTAAAAAGATCTACACAAATGAAACTATGCTGAGAGGTAAAGCTGAATTTGGGATTGAGGTAATTCAAAAAATGGTTTGAAAGGTCATATATCCTGTACACAGAAATGAGGGAGTCATTCTCAAACACAATTATACCATCTTTTTCCTCATGGTAATTGCATATTAGTAAAATTATTTCATCTTTCTAAGCTGAAGTTTACTGAGAGAAAAAAATCTTTTTTTAATGTTGATGTAGTTAAATGCATTGCTGTTAAAGAATATGTTTACATTACTTCTTTACCAGTTAGCAGCAATCAGCGATCTTATATAGTGTTTAAAAAAACGAACTATATTTTTGTTAAGTTTTAAGTATTTACAATTAAATTTCAAAAAGCCTAATAATTTGAGACATTCTAAAAGTGAAGAAAAAAAAAATTGTAGTTATATTAATGTGGGAATTAAGAGTAAAGTGTGCTAGTTATTCTTTTTTTATCTAACCTTAACATCGACAATAATGATCTCAATGTAACATCAGCAGCAGGCATTTTTTTTTTCTTCAAATCACTAAGCTTCATCAAAGAAAAATTTTGACTGACATTATAAAAAAAAAACAATGAATGCATCACACATCCTGGCGTTGGTGAAAATAAAATAGCGACACAGAACTAATGCAAGTTTTCAACTCGGACACATCTCAAAGGGACTAGTCTGTACACTTAGTATCTCCTCATTACACAAAAAAAAGCACATCATTGAAATTATGCTTAAGTTTTTAACAGTTAAGATCTTTAGTATGTATGTACACACAACAAAAATATTTTTAAAATGTCAATAATAATAGTAATAATAATAATAATAATAATAATCCATCTGCTATGGGTTTATACGAAAATAATGAAAATTGTGTAATACTAAATACATTGGAAATAGTTGAATGAAACTCAATACTTCTGTCTTAAATAATCATTTATATCAATAAAAACAGTTTAACAATTAGTATATGAATGATTTTTAAAAATGTAGATAGTAATAATAATAATAATTAGTTAATTAATAATCACATGTGCAGGCAGGGAATAATTTACAAATGAGTGTATTTACATTGACTAACTGAGAGATTGGTTAGATGAACATTTAATACCAGTACTGGTACAAGAAGGAATGCACTATCGCCATCTAGGAACTCTAAAATAGGCTATAAACAAATAGTACGCATAAATTAGGTTCAAAATCCACTGAACACACACCTTCTTTGGAATGTACATTCAATTCTTTTTTGCACTACATAAAAAAGAATACAGCATTAGTTGGCAACGCCAAATTGATCTAGGCACCAGAACGGAGCATAATGATAATAGATCACTAACTGATGACACAAATACATCAATAGTAAAAAGTAAACATTGTTTGGAAAAGTGCTTGGTATATGCTACATAGAGATGGCAGTGAAAAAAATTAAAGTATAGAAATATGCAGAGAAGGGTGGCTGTAAAAGATATTCAGAATTAAAGTATTTTTAAGCCAAGGTTAAGCCAATCTAGGGCCATGATGTACCCAATACTGGGCCATGATGTACCCAATATTGGGCCACGACGTACCCAATATTGGGCTACGACGTACCCAATATTGGGCCACGATGTACCCAATATTGGGCCACGACGTACCCAATATTGGGCCAACATTGGTGAGCTGACTAGGAAATCACTTTTTAACATTGTTAAAAATTTCATTTTCTTGAATTGCATTTTAAGCATAGAACTGTAGTACTTGCAAATGTTTTTCATGTATATATATACTTATATAACAGTGATAGATCTTGACTACAATCAACATGCAACAGCAAAGGTTTTAAAGTAACAAAATACACTTTGGCATGTCCTAATACCAGCAGAATAGACTTCAACTAAAGATGAAAAATTTCATCAAGGTCGATTACAAATAAGTTAGCAGTTAACATGTTCAAATAGGGAACAGGACATCCCATGCCCCCCCCCCCCCCGAGTAATAACCCCCTTGGCAATTCCCCCCCCCCCCCCCCCCCCCCCCCCGCCCAGTAGGACATAGCTTAAGGTACAGCTAGGGCTAGGTTTTGGAGCTAGGTTTTGGGTTAAGATTAGGGTTAGCACAAGGGCTAGGTTTAGGGTTAGGAATAGGGTTAGAGTTAGGCTAAGGTGAAGTTTTGGCTTTAGCTTAAGGCTAGGATTAAGGTAAGATATAGGTCTAGAGTTGGGGTTTGGTCTAGGGTTAGCTTTAATTATAAGGTTGGAGTTTGGGGTTAAGTTTAGGGTCAGGATTCTTGAGCTTGGGGGAGGGAGGTAATTACCCAGGGGGTAATTGCTCCAGGGGGGATGTCCGGAGGGGGTGGGTAATGTCCTAGACCCGTTCAAATATTTGTAAAAACTAAACTAATCCATTCCCTTCATTAATGTGGGAGGAAATCAAGGCTATTCTTTACAAAAAACCATTTTTTATACTAAAATGTTTATAACGCAATATAACAACATCAATTTTTGAAAATCAATGTCAAATTTTAAAAACTGTTTTAAAAATTCAGGATACGGTAAAGTTTAAAAAAAAAATCTATAAGAAAGTTTTTCACTTCATATTAATTGGAAACGTTTAGTTTACATGAAAAACAGTTATATATTTTTTGAAAGATTCTGAGCAGCTTATCAAATGGTGGGATGCCTTGGTAGCTTCAAGCAAAATTTTGATTATAAAATGCTACCCCATTGTAGCCCTTGCTTCCCCTAGGGTGGGTTCACACACACAAGCACCCAGTCTACCCTGAAGCACTTCGAAAAATTCAGGCTGCAACAGCTGAAGAAACTCCTTGAACATTGACAAAAATGTAGCAATATCTGAACACTGGAAAAATTTTAGTTATTCCTATACACAACCAAAAAAAAACAATTTAGTTTTCAAAGAGTTGATTCTTCTTTGCTTAACATTGTAACTTTCCCAATTTTACTTTTGCATTTAGTAAAATGCACTTTAAAGGGTTGATACAACATGCCTGATAAGTTATTCCTTGCATATGTCAAGATCTATAAAGTAATGAAAAAAAAAGATTTTTGCAACTAGTAATACTTTAACCATCCACTACATTTGCTTGAAACGAGCAGGTATCTTAGCAATATTTTACGTACTATTTCTAGTACCCTTTCATTAGGTTTTAAACAATCATTTTACAGTAGTAAAAAAAAAAAATATTTGCACAGGTAGTGTAAGAAGGTGGGGGAGGTGTAGAGGTAAAAAAAAAATTAAAAACAACACAAAGCTGCCACTCTTTCAATGTCTTATCACAGCCGGTCTGCTGGTACAAGAGATATGACTGAGTCCAAATGATATTGTGGGATGGCATGCAATGACAAATGTCTTGTATTGGAATCTTAGGGGCCAGTTCTCTGACTGCCTACATGCCTGTCATTGAAGTGGGTGGGCTAGCAAGTGACAAGACTATCGTACTTTATCTTCTACATTAAAAAAAAAAAATTTACATCCATATATAAAATTATATACACAAGTTGGCAAACCAAGAAACATAGTTCAAAAAAATTTGAAACTTACTAAAGGCAGCTCACACATTGGAGGAGATCAACCCTCCACTGTTTCTCAACGTACTGTTGGCGATATATAAACCCCTTGCACTGATTTAAAGTATTGTTTTTGCTTAATGCCATTTACAATCACTCAGATATTGTATGTGCGTAAAAAAAAAACCTTTGTTGGGTTTTAGATGAAGTAAATAACATTACAAAAAATAGTAATAAAACAAAACAGAATTATATCTAAATGACACAGAATAACAGTTTTCTATCAGCTAAAGGTAATAGTAACGACTATCAAATAACCATCAAGTAGAACATATGCTTTTTTGTTATAAACAACACTATAACAAAGTTGTTGTAGAAATTAAACAAAGTCCATCACATTACAGGAAGTCTTTCCATAGCTAGTTATAACATTAGAAGAAATGGTAAGATCGATCAGAAAATTGTAATTCTTTAACACGGAAATCTTGCAGCTGTTTCACGTAAACATTGCTTTGTTTGTATTTGTTTAGTGTTAGTTGTTCATGGGATAAGGTAAAAAAATACTAGCATGTTTATAAATGCTGTTATTAATGAAGGCCATATATAGCTTTAAATCAAACTTTAATGCAATGAGGGATATAAGTTTAAGTGAAGTTTATAGACTTAGGAAACACAACCACTAAGTGGTAGGCTAATGGGAGTGGTAGATTTTTTAACACACTTTAAACATGTGCCCCATTTTAATTCCAGTTTTAAAAATCAAAGAAAAAAGAATTTCTTTTTTTTTTACTTTAAATATCCTGCCCAATAATCGGAACGGCAGAAGAACTAAAAACTGTATCATAAAAAAGTAGTAAAAATTTAGTTGTTAATAAGAACTTTGAATTAAAAAAATAAGCCCTGAATAATAAATTTTCTTTAGCAGCACTAGTAATACAATAGCTGAACACTTTTTTTCCAAGAAGCCTTTTCCAAGAAGCCTAAAATTGATGTTGCTAGTAGAAGTCAAAATGCACATTCTGCCAAGAGCTGATAACCTTGTAAAGCACTGCACTGCAAAAGGCCTCAGAATGCAATAAGCTAAAATTATATCATCAAATAGGCATACATTTCCATTGCCATCTCCTAAAATTGAAAGTCCTGACCCCCTAAAACTCTTAGAAAAACAAGAACAGTTTTGTAATAAAGCCATGTATGTTTGGCACTCCAGAAATCTACCAACAAGCACATATACAATAATCTATAAAGTGTTAAGATATTACAGCAAAATAAAAAATTTAAAATTAAATTGGTCAGTCTAAAGTCCACTTGGGCTACGTCCTTCCCATTAAAGTTTCGAGCGATGTGGTTGAGCCTAGGCCAGCTTGGGCAAGACCTGTTGTTGAAGAGTGGTGGCCAAACAAGGAGGATGTTGGGAAAAGTTTGTACCAGCCAATCACAATGTTGCTTAGATCAAGATCATCCAATAAAATTTGAGCTACTCCCATAAACACTTTTTTATCCATCCGTCCATAGTCGCCCCACACTGTCACCTAAAATAACAAAACAAATTTTAAAACTGGGAATAGGGGTCAAAAAATTTGGTGAATATTAAATACTATTGCATTAGCATTACATAAATTTAAAAAACTGAAGATTATTTTATTGATAACTTAATTGCCAAAGTAATTTTTCTTGTTTTGTAAAAAATGAAAAAATAATTAAAATAAAATGTGACGAGCATTGAGGAAATCAGGTTACCTGTAAAATCCTGTTATGGTATGGTTCACTGAAAAACAGCTGTTGTTGATAGAGAGGATCGAGGGTGCGCCTTGCTGTTGTTGTTTTCTGTTTTTCAACACAGTGCTTGCCTTCAATAAGGTAGACTTTTACGTACGGAGCTGTAGGAACAAAACACTTGCCAGTTAGAGTAAGAAAATATCTGGCCACAGTAACAATATCATCATACTAGGCTGTGAAGAAAATGACACAAAATTGGGTAGTTCTGTGTACTCTATTTTAAGCTAGTAATCTCTACCCCAGTCCAGGCCCTCACTCTAACATTGACATTGACAAAAATACAAAAAAAACCAACAAAAAACTTTTTTTAACCTGAATCTTTAATTTTCCTTACTAGACTGATTTAAGTTTATAACTCAAGCGTTGCAGCAGTATAAAAACAACATTGTTCAATAAACCAGATTGACACCACTAGCAGTATTTAATACCAAATTTTCAAAGAGACCTGGCTGGTAACATTGTAGCAGTACATAAACATTTCCTATTCAGACCAAAGTTGAAACAGGCTAGCAGTACAAAAACTATGCTCAACAAAACCAACCTGAGATTGGCAAACTAGCAATGTTCAATGCAGTATAAATAAAATTTACTGAATGAAAACAACTTGAAAACATTTTGGCATACAATTTATTAAAACACCTCAATGAAACTAACCTGCAACTGGCAAGCTCTAGCAGTATAAAATCAACAATGTTCTATGCAGCATAAATAAAAACACCTCAATGAAACTAACCTGCAACTGGCAAGCTCTAGCAGTATAAAACAACAATGTTCTATGCAGCATAAATAAAAACACCTCAATGAAACTAACCTGCAACTGGCAAGCTCTAGCAGTATAAAACAACAATGTTCTATGCAGCATAAATAAAAACACCTCAATGAAACTAACCTGCAACTGGCAAGCTCTAGCAGTATAAAACAACAATGTTCTATGCAGCATAAATAAAAACACCTCAATGAAACTAACCTGCAACTGGCAAACTCTAGCAGTATAAAACAACAATGTTCTATGCAGTATAAATAAAAACACCTCAATGGCAACTGGCAAGCTCTAGCAGTATAAAACAACAATGTTCTATGCAGCATAAATAAAAACACCTCAATGAAACTAACCTGGCAATACTCTGGCCCCAGGTTTAGACATGAGTCCTCTGGCCCTGATGACCTCCACTTCTAGGTGACCCTTCCGGTCATACAACCCAAGTTGAATTTCTCCCAGGCAGGGGGCACCCAGAACTTGACGCCCAACCAACTGTGATGGACCCAGCCCATCCACAAACTCACCAAACTGTCCTTCAGGGCCTAGTCTCATCCCAGTAGGAAGCCATAATCTGTGGTGAAAAAATTATTGGCATTCTATTTAGTTTAGCAGGTCTTAAATGATGTCTTTAATTACATAGGCTAAGGGGATTCATACGGAAAGTCCAGGAGAGTTGAAGATTTTGTAACTAAACCTACAATGTACTTTTTATTCCAATTAAAATGATGAAAAATGTTTATATTCAAAAGCTTTCTCTGCTGGCAGAAAGTTTTGACATTGTTTTAGGCTAAAAGAGGAAAAGTTGAACACAAATGGCTTCATTATACTTTTACGATCTCTTATTTTGTACACTAACACTTGCATATTTTGTGTGTACTTACACACTAGATGTTTCATAACTAAGATGTGAATGTTTACTTACACACTAGGTGAATCACTAATTAGATGTAAATGTGTATTTACAAACTAGATGTATTTATACACTAGATGTATCACTACTAAGATGGAATGTGTACTAGATGAATCTCTACTAAGAACGTGCACTTACACATTAGATAAATCTCTACTAAGAATGTGTACTTACACACTAGATGAATCTCTACTAAGAATGTGTACTTACACACTAGATGAATCTCTACTAAGAATGTGTACTTACAAACTAGATGAATCTCTACTAAGAATGTGTACTTACACACTAGATGAATCACTACTAAGAATGTGTACTTACACGCTAGATGAATCTCTACTAAGAATGTGTACTTACACACTAGATGAATCACTACTAAGAATGTGTACTTACACGCTAGATGAATCTCTACTAGAATGTGTACTTACAAACTAGATGAATCTCTACTAAGAATGTGTACTTACACACTAGATGAATCACTACTGATACTCCCAATACTTCCATCTGTTGAATCTTTGCTGGCTTGCTTTGACATGCCCCCTCTTAAATCTACTGGCCCTATTTCCTCACTGCGCTGGAAGGAGCTCCGCTTTTTACTGCCACCTGTACCAAAGAAAAACAATAAATATTTCTTTCATCTTATTTACCTTAAAAAAATCATGCAACTAGGAAGGGAAGGAAATTTTTGCAAACTTGTACCTTGAGTTATAATAAAAAGTGAAACAATACACACCAAACATGTAGTTTAAAAAGTGTAATATGTTAAATTGAGTATAAGAAATCAAGAAGGTAATTGTTTAATTCATGCATAGTTGTACTGGATCACTCACATATCGGTAAATATTCAGTAACTAAATAGTACACCGAAGCAAATAGATAACAACCAGGTTTAGTTAACTATATAAAGATATTTTTCATACTGTTTGAAAGAAAAAGATATACATTCAATTGTTTAAAAAAAAAAGGGTGCAAAACTGGTTTTACTTCTTCAGAAAATAAAATTAAAAATGTGATGATTTAAGCATGCACACAGAAAACACCAAAAGATCATATCCAATGTTTTTACATTTTAATTTAATATAATCAGCAGGTACATTTCCATCAAATTATTTCTATTCAACACTTACTTTGGAAATATATGATAAATAAAAGGGAATTGATTAGGTTACATCGGCAGTACAATGATAGGGAGGTAAAAGATTTCAGCAAGAATTAGATGTCACAAGGGTAGAACTTTAAACATCCAGAATATAATAGGTAACTCCCAGAAATATTATCGGCAGTACAATGAGAGGGCGGTAAAAGATTTCAGCAAGAATTAGATGTCACAGGGGTGGAACACCCAGAATATAATAGGTAACTCCCAGAAATATTGGAAAACATGAAGAAAGTACAAAACAGGCATCAACCATGAGAGCTCACCAGCCAGCTGTGAGGCGCTGCTACTGCGCCGGTTTAACCCTACGAGTGCTGCCATTTTGTGGCCAATGCTGGGCCTTCGCTTCCTCCCCTCCGTGACACTTGTCGTGACAGCCGAGTCAGAAACACTGCCATCGTTTTGATCGAACCCCTGGCTGTCATTGCTAGAGCTTCTGCTAACAGCCTGCTGTCTTCTCTGGGGTATGGTTGTCCGGCTCTCCATTTTTGACGCAAATTCACTGCAAAGTTGGTGATTGCAATTTCAATATTTAAATTTAAGGTGCTTATAGGATTTTTCGGTTAAAAGTTTCACTGAAACTTGTTTAAAAAATTGTAATCAATTCAAGGTATGTATGTTATTTTAGCATTTTTCTGAAAAACATATCGCATTATATTTAGAAAGTTTAAAAAAAAAATTTCAAATTTGTATCATTAGGCAGAAAATAAAAGCATATTATATAAGCTATAATCATTGCAAAATAAGACTAGAATTTTTTATTTATTTTTTTAAAGTTTGCTAATGATACAAGCAATAAATAATAAATACCTCAGTTTTCTTCTAGGTCTTTCGGACTGCGTTGATCGTACACTGATGGTGCTAACCTTGCTGACCTCTGACATATCGCTGGTTTCTGACACGTCACTGGCAACGTCATCTGACATGTCAGGGCTAAACTCTGACAAGTTCATAGCATAGAAAATAGCCATTTATCTATCTAACATCAAAACAAGTACAAAAATAATCTCACACAGAAGACAGTGAAATGGAAAAATAAAAATTAAGATGAATAGAATGAAACAAAACAAACAGAACAAAACAGTTGGAAATAAAACTTCTATCAGTTTAGCCTCATCAAGTTCATCCAATAAACTGTAAACATTCAAGCATGTTTAAATAACAAAAAACTGGAATGTTTATACAAAAATATAAATTAAAGAAGTAAAGCTGAACTCCTAGATACATTCAACCATATGTGAGTGACCCAGTTTTGATTTGTCCTCTTTTTGGAAATACATATATACATATTTTACTGAGAATTTTTTTTTATTAACTATAACTTTTTGAAATTCTGTTCTAGCTTTTAAAAATAAACATCATTATATACAATAGCTACTTTCTTGATACTTGCTTCTGTAACTGTTTCACTTTTTTTTTTTATTAAAAGCTAATTATCCAGCTGTTCTGTATGGTGAACCAATCCTTTGAGAAACAATGAGCTACTCTAATAACAACTACCATTTTAGAGTGAGCAGCTTGAAAAAACATCAACTTCTAGTAAGTGCCAAAGCTAAACTAAATCTAGAACTGCAGTAAAAATTTTTTTTTACCTTTATGTCTCCTGGATCTATGATGGCCCCTGTCGGGATCCCTCCCCCGCTCGTAGTTCCTCTCCATGGCTCGCTCCCGCATTCTTTCAACCCGGTCGTGTGAGATGCTGCGGTCATGTAACCTTTCGCCTGACTCACCATGGCGATCTCGGCGCCGGGTCATTCTGGACTCACTTTCTGAATGCATTGAGCCAGTTCCCTGCCCCTGTTGGGCTAGTTTCATCTTCATTTTCATTATACGTGCTCGTTCTTCAAGATCTTGGGTCACTGTAAAGATATTTGTGAAATATTAATTTTTGTTGTGTGAGCTGGAGATCAAGTAACTACTTGTTTAAGTAAAATTAGGTGTGTCAATATGGAACATGATGAAGACTTTCTTTAACCTCTGTATATAAAACATGTGAGTAATTAGCCCAGTCACCTTTACATTTTCTGAGAGTTGGATAACTATCTGATCCAGGTGGACTCAGGGACAATAACTCAGCCAATATAGTAATTGAAAGACAGATTTGTTAAAAACTTCATATGTAGGAAGAGTTTTAAGACAGTTTGTCACAGGTAGAAGGTGGCAGATAAATGTTTAGGTTGTTTAAAAATACAGAAGGTTGCAGACATTCTGATAACACCATACATGTTTAACTTAAAAATAAAGAAGGTGATAGACATTATGAAGACATCACACACAATTTAAGTTAAAAACAATCTACAATTTACCTCTGTCTCTGCTGGCTTTCTGAGCCTCAAGAGGAATAGCTGGGAGTTGTCTTTTCTTGGGTGATGGAGTGCTTGAAGGTGTACCCCCTAGTGAGCGGGAGGAAGCGGGCTGGAAGGAACGTGCTGATGTTCCCGGTGTCCTGAAGTATAATTAGTTACATTCATGTAGCATTAAATAGTATACTCTTCATGTGTTTTATGAAGAATGTCAAGCAAAAAGGAATAAAAGGGGTGTATAATGCAGCGGTTTTTAACTTGGGTTTGAACAAACCCCTGGGGTTCAGTGTATCAGGGATTTGGCGGAGATCAAGACACACCCTCAACTCACATGATTTGTGATTGGATTTTGTCAGCGCATATGATAGAACTAGCGGCTGTGGCAAATAATAGTTCCAATAGAATAGCATAAGAGCACGACAAAGTAGTAAATTGTGTCAGAGCAGGATAACACATATTTGTATCGATATATTTGTGGAACTCAGGACTTCACGATAGAGCCTACATGCATCATAAATTGTGTCATCCTATGTTTTGAATTTGAAATTTTATTTTTATTTTTCTTAATAAGAATGGCTCGGTGAATCTGCATATGAGGCTGGTGGGGTTCGGTACCTCTAAAAAGGTTAAGAACCACTGCTCAAAAGATAACTGAACAAAAGGCAGGGGCTTGGGTTCAGAGGAATGAATAATGTGGAGACAGATCAACAGCAGCTTGAAATACAGACATGGAAGAAGAAGATAGTGGACAAGACTGAGAGGATAAAAGTGGTCGAGTCACGGAGGTAGATGTGGAGCCACAGTGGTAGATGTGGATGAATATATTTTCAGACAAAGTCAAAACTGGCACAAATGAGGACTGAATTTTAATTTAATTAAAAGCTAGACTACATTTTATAAGCTGTACTTAATTTGTAAACCTAACTTTCAAATTTGATTAATTTTTTTTCCACAATAAAAGACTTGAGTAATTTAAGAATATGGTCTTTAGGAAAAGGAAGGGTGTCAAGAAAAACACAGTTGACCTATAACTATAAGGCTGGGGACAGCCCTCTCAGTCAGTATACTGACCTCATATCTGGTGGGGACAATGACCTTGAGGCATCCAGCATGTGCAAGTGGCCTGGTGATCTTGATCTGGATCTGGAACTTTTAGCTGACCCCTCCCTTGAGGGTGAGCGGGATCTTTGACCAACCCCTCCTAAATCTGGCACCTCCAGTTTATCAGCGGCTGACTGATGCCGCTGTCTAGAACCAAGATCATCCCGGGCTACGACTGGAATAAAAATCATAAAGGGCATATTTATTTATAAATATATATATATATATATACATAATGTACATTGTACTACCACCTAACAAAGGGAAAAAAATAAGTTCATTAAAGTAAAAATAAGGAAAAAATATTTAAAAATTAGAAATTAAACTTATTGAGCTTTAATAAATATCATTAAATTCTTAAGTTATATTGTTATATAATTTTTTTATATCTGTGAATAAATAGAAATAAATAATTTACTCTGAAGAATTAACATTTTTATTTAAACATTCTGTATTAATCTGGAAAATTAGAAAGTAATGTAAAAGTAAAACTATTAAACCTACTTTACATATAAACATGAATACTCATTTGCAAAAGAAAATATTCAAATCTAAATCATAATTTTTAAACTATTTTTTTGTATTTCAAAAATATATTAAAAAACAAGATGGATTCTGAATATGATCATTTATATTTGTTGACAGAATTTTGAGCCCTGCCTCATGCACGCTAACTCAGTCTAAAGCAGCACTTCTATATAAATCAGATTAAACAGCATTCTCTATCTAATGGGACAATAAGTCCCATAAAATTCCAGATAGTATTTTAACTTATCACAGTGATTGATTAAGGCAAATCTAATAAAATAAGTTATAAATTATAAGAATAATTTTTATAACATTAAAAAAAAATCACATAAAGTGGATAATTACGGGGGTGTAGATTTAGGTTTGTACAAATTATTATTTTTAAAAAACCAGTGGGAAAGTCATGGCCAGTGTAAGGAGGAGAACAAAACAACAATTGGTTCAAAACTGTGGAAAGGTAGGCGGCTGTGTAGGGACTGGGGTGATGCACTAACAAATGTTTTCACATTACATGTCTAGTATAATCACACCATGTTTACCAGGTTTACCTATGTGATATTTTGTTGGCATAAATTACTTAAACTGTGGTTGTATACATTATTTAATATACATGTTAGAGTAAGTAACACTGTAAGAAGCAAATAAAATGGTTGTACTGAACTGTGTTTAAAACACTAATTGTTTTACGATTATTTTTTTCAATTATTTTCTTATCATTTGGATGAAGATGCAAAAAACTAACATAAAATGATGTAAGTTTTTTTTTAAAACATCTTATTCAAATATATTATAATTAGTGTAACAATCAGCCTAATCAGCCTAACACAAATACTGGAATAATACCAAGTCATTAAATTATTATAATAGGCATTTGGGGTGGGTGATAATTTTGAAATAAAGCACCAAATAGATAATCAATGTGTAAAAAAATAATTCTAAGTTGATATAGATATCACTGTTAGCCAGTGTATTAATTGTAACTATTTTATACTATTTTTTTTTAAATTCAAGAAAAATATGAAGTACAGTTTTTCTATTAATTAAAAATTAAAATACAAGCCTATTTAAGTATATCTTTGAAGTAGGTAGGTAATGCAAAGTGAAAGCCAGAAGACTTATAAATATATACCTCCTAATCTCTTTTTTAACAGATGTTATAGTAAGTTAACAATGCACACCTTCTAAAAAAATATATTTTTGTTCTGACACAGAAATGAATTATAATGCTACATAAATTAACAAAAAAAATTTCTGAAAATCAATAACATGGCATTCTTATACATTATATATATAGATATAAATTTTGATTCAATTTCAACATGAATTTGGCTGCATGAATGAATTTGGCTGGCAATTATTATCTGTGAGTAGAACACAACTGAGGGATAAGAAAAATAACTATCCCAAAGATAAATTTGAAAAGTAAGACCTATCTAATAGGCGTAGGCCTTATTAAAAAAAATCAGCAAAACTTATTAATTCAATAATTGTATCACTGTCCTCATCAGCAGTAAGCATCTGCCATATTGTAAGTAAAGAATATTTAAAACATAAGTTCTATTGTTTTTTACTCCTTCAGTATTATGGATAAATTATTATTGCATTTAGTTCAATATTGTTTTGACATGCATGAGATTAAATGTAATAATAATTGAGGATAATAACTCACTGTTTAGCATAAAAGGAGTTAGATCAAACAGACATTCAGAAACAAATTTAACAGAAGTAACAAATATATAGCTTACAGCAGCTTTGAAAAATGTCTACAGTGACTCATGAATAAGGTAATGTCAAATTTTAAAACAAAAACATTGTTTTATATAACAGAACAAATTTCAAATAATAAACTTTTTTAAAACATCTTTCAAAGCCCTAGTACAGGACTAAGGCTTTAGATATTTACATGAGAAAATGCACCACTTTTTAGTTAGGTATAAGATTTTTTTTTTACAAAGGAGAGTAGACAAATTAACAGGTCTAAGAAATTCCCCCATCAATTATCCCCTTCCCATTACTTATCTGTCATTATCCCAGCCCATAATTCATCCTCCCGCTTAATTTCATAACTTTATCCCTTATCCTTATGCTAAACTTTGCCCTAACCCTAAAGATCAATTTGTAATTGGCAGGAGGGATAATATTCTACTCCAATTCTAGGGCAGTGAGGAAGGTATTGTAAGTAGGATAACTGATATGGAAATAATGACGAGGGGTATTGTCCTGCACCCGAAATATACATATACCATGTGTTAAAATGTAGTTTCTGCAGTAGAAATAGTTTTATGCACTCTCCGCAATGTTTAAAATTAATTTTACAGCTCTTTACGTTAACACTAACTAAAAGCATAGAGTTTGTTAAACCCACTGTGCAGGGTATAGAGTCACTGTTGACATTTCTACGTCATGTTATCACCATGCAAATATGTCCCTTATTACTAATACATAAACAATTCTGATTCAGATTTTGATCAATTTGAAATTTAATATATTAAATATTGTAATTATAGATTTATATTTCAATAAATAATATCAAACCCTTATTATAATAATTTTTAAGTATAATTTTTTTTATATATTGAACGTTTTTTAAAGTTAATAGTTATTTGCATGATGTTATTTTGTGATAATTAAGAACATCTCTGCTAAATCTAAATGCACTGAAAGGTAACTTTAGCAACTGTTCAGCTAAACAAATTTAGGTAAATGCAGCAAAGGGGCGTTTGTGAGGAGGGTAGGCAATCAGTTACATCAGTTGCTACTAACACTTGAAACAAGAGCTAACCAAAAGGCATGGCGCGGTAAGTTCACAGTGATGCACACACAGGGGGGGGGGGGGGTCAGACAGCTGAACCACTGCTCACAAATGGTCAAGACGAGGCCGGAAAAGTTTCATACTACATAACAAAAGTCTAGGCAGCTTACATGACGCACACTGGACAAACAGCAGCCCATTTAGAATGTGTGAACAGTACTACTATAGCGCAAGACTCTGGACTTGGAGGTGCAATATATCTACCTGTGCTACTACGGCTGCGGTGCGTGCTGGCTGTTGTGGAGGAGTCACCGTCCTGCCGGGCACTACTGGTGTCTGACAACTCCTCGGAGCCCATTGTGGTCGGACTGCAAGAACTGCCCAAGGAACTAACACTGGCAGTTCCATCCCCACGTAAACTACCTCCAGCTCCACCTAGTGGATGAGCAGGTACCAACACTCCAGCACAGGTCAAAGGTCAACAGGTCACAGGTCAATGGCATGAATTTGACACAGGTCATAGTTTAATGGCATTGTTAATATTATTTCAATGCCAAAGTTAGGTGAATGACTTTGAGGCATAATTGTGTGAAGAATTGGAGGAAACTTTTCTAGAAACAAAATACTATTCACTTTTCCCAGAATAAATTATATTGTTCTCTTTCATTTCTTTGAAAAATGTAATATGATCAATCACTTGAGGGGTATTTACGGAGCAGAATTTGTTTCCAAATATGTCATCAGTCCACCTCAAGCTAGTCACTATATCTTCAAGACCTTATCAAAACTTAAGTACAGAAATAACATTTAACATGAAACATAATTAATTTTGATTAATTGTCAACCATGCAGGGTATTATGCTTACATCAATTAATCAATTTCTAATAAAAAATATTTGTACCAAATGAAAGCATTGTTATTTGTTCCAAGGATTTTGACGTTCTTAATCCAGCTTTTCCACAATTAACTATATAAGACCTTCTACAATTTATTTTATAATAACTGAATATTAAGTCTAAAAACAAATGGGTACAAAGAAATGGAGATACGAATCACTAGGTTCATTGTAAATGTGTAATTTTAAATAAGAAAATTAAATGTAACAAAACTAAACTAAAAATAATTACATTCTTATTATTCTATGAGCTAACAGGTAACTATTCTAAGTTTACTTAAGAGAAATATTTTAAAATTTTGAAAGGGAAAAAGGAAGATAGAGCACAATTCTAAATTACACTGGCCGTGAACCCCAATAGTCTTAAATTTTAAACAGGTATATTGTTTCGTAAATAAACTGTGCATATCTGAGTCTTACGACTGCAAGGGCTAGCTTTATCACGAGATGAGAGGCACATAAAAAAACAGAATCAATGAATGTATAAGACACCAATAAAACAAACAAGTAAAGCAAGATTTTATTTACCTGGAACCACTCCAATGCTGTCGTCAAAATCCAGCTCTGACATGTCACTGTCACTCAGACCACGTGAGCTGATGGGTGGTGAAAGATGGTCTTTTCTTACGTCATAAGGATCTTGACTTGTTTTCTTAAAGAAATCAAGCACAGTTGTGACATAAAAATGTTATTTAATAATGAAGCACAGTTGTTATTGTGCTTGTTAATAATGCGTTCTTAAAATGTATTTTTAGTAAAGGTTTGTAAAGCTCCTATAGCATTTTTTTTTTTTAAAGATTAGGTGTTCTTTATAATTTTTAATAGTTTAAAGTAAAGTAGCAAAGTCATGTTGTGCTCTTAAGATAATATTGTGTTTGTTACTACTTAGTTATGACAATGTCATGCCTTTTTTAGTTAAGCTTCAATGTGTTAAGATTGTTATATTTAAAAATTAATTCATTTAGCTGAAACCAAGTTGTGTCCTTAAAATATTCTTGCATTTCATTGTTTATATTGCATTTGCTGAAGAAAAAAAATATGTATTAGATGATTTCACCAACACTAACTGTGCAGTTAGATTAGTGTTGGAAGTATATGTTAAGTTCAGTTGTTTGTTTATTATTTATTTTCTCTTTGGAAAAATGGTGAAGGTCTTATACATACTGTGCGAGGAGAGGAAGCAGGAAGTGGAATGCTGGCATTGTCATGGTGGTCTAGTTGGTACCAGTAGGGCTCATCATTTAGGTTTGCTGTTGTTAAGTCAATCAAAACCTGCCAGAAAAATATTTGTATCAAAATCTGCGGGGAAAATATTTTTTATCAAGTCCTGGAGGGGAGGGGGGAATATTTTGGATATTTTTTTAATCAAAACCTGAGGGGAATATAATTTATAATCTCACTGTGAAACAATCCATCCAGTCTAAATAATTAAAATAGGCAAATTATTTTGTCATCCATTTAATTTATTAGATAGAAACATCGTCAATTAATGTTTAATCAAGTGCATTTTCTTTAAAAGCTTAGAATAAACCCTAGAAAAGTACACCTTCAATAAATTACTTCATTTCACATAAATTTTAAGGCAAACAAATAATTTAGTTATTCACTTACTAGCCTGTCTACACTGCAATGCTTCACTGACTTAAAATGACAGTGCTTTAAGGCTACTACCTTATTAAATTCAACATCTTAACTTAAAGTCTCCATGTAATACACACCTCAAGGTTTTCTCTTGCACCACTAGCTTATGACCATCATATACCTACCTCTCCCAAAAACTCGGAGGCTCCAACTCTGTCATAATCCCATATGGTAATTTCCAATAACCTTTCATGCATATCTGCTTCTTTCACAGGACAATAAATAAAGGTTTGGTTCCAAGTTGGGTCTATGGTGCTTGCAACAGTTTTAGTCCTACGCTTGCTTTTTTCACTATAAAAACATTTGCGTAGAGATGTGGTTAGAGATAAACAAATTAAAATAAATTTTTGGAAGTAAATTCAACAATAAAGTAGAGTATCCTTTTGAACATTACGGGCCATGAGGCAGGTGAAGTTGACTTCACCTGTTTCAGTGACCTGGACAGTGTGGTTAGCACTACACCTAGCAGTCTTTACTTCCCTTTACATAAGTCAGGTACCCATCAGAGCTGGGTGGAATCAGAGATATTCTATGGACTCAGCTTAATCCAACAATATTATTTGGTTGAGAAACAAAATTATGTAGTTTTCTCTTTGTTGCGTTTCATATAAAAAAACACCTGTAATCTCCTTGCATTTCATCTTATTGCATTGATTTTAACCCTATGCTTATATTATACAAAGAAATATATCCTTTAAGTTAATTAGAAAAGACCTTTTGGATAGATTCACTATTTGTAAATTGGTTTTCTAAACAGAATTTTGTAAATTTCTTTTCAACACGTCTTCTAATGACTGAAATATTTAAACAATTATGATAATAACCACATATGACTTCTTAATTTTATATGAAGTAAGCTACTTAAAAATTATAACGTAAAATTATATCACAAACACTTTCTAGTATGCTGTTCAATAGATAATAGATAAGCCCTATTACACTCTTCTACAATAAAATTCAATTTGAATTCATCTTGCTTATAATTTATAGTTTTAAATCTGTAAGAAAATTATTTAAAAAGTTAAATACCTTCTGTCAGGTAGCATATACATTTTACAGTAAGGATTTCTAAACTTTCCGTTTTCTGTAAGAGGGAGATCGATGGCACTAATGATGGAAATTATGAGCTGGTAACTCTGGACATCATACCACAGCTTAACCTGCAGACCAACAATGAGGTAATTTGTAACACAAATGAAAATAACAGGATATTTATCAAATAATTCTGTCAGCTCAAGTCAAATCAAAGAGTGAGTTTACACACTGTTGATACATTTTTATGTCAATGAGAATAGATGAAAAATGTACTTATAGAGTCTATATATCACTGAATAGTCACAGCATCTAAGAAATAATATTATCTTCTTAAAAAGGGGGTGTTAGAGTAGTTTAAGCAAACTAAATATTAAAATAACAAATAACTTACTAATGTTAACACTAACCCTATCACAGAAGCTAATCCACTTCAAAGACTTAAATTTCTAACCTTAACACTGAACCTGATATTACAGTCTTCCACAATACTCTTAAGAACCTAACAAACTTATTTTTAGAAATAAGTGGTAGCATCAATTCTCCCCATGGGCTAATACTGATACATTCCCACAAATGAAAGCAACAAAAGAACAACTCCAAAATATACTTCAAGAGGCAGTTGAAATGAAAATGTTGTAATCCGAATATCTACTTAAAATCAGGGCAAGTAGTTCTATATGAAAATGTATTCATCCTATGTCTATTTAAAATCAGGGCATATAAGCCTATATTGATTCTAAAACATTACCTGCAATTTGCCTGTGATTGGTGGAGAAAGAGGTCGCGACCGTAACCTTGACCTTGGTTGAGGCTCAGGGACAACACTACGTCGAGATCTTTGGTTGTCTGGAATAGCTTCCTTCAAACCATAATCTGAATTTGAATAAGCAAGAGTTAAAATATTATAGTCATTTTGAAAATTGTTACACTATATTTGCAAATAAAATAATTAGTAGGTTTATTATGTTACACTACACAACAACTAACATAATTGTATTAAAACAGACTTGTTGCTTATTTTTAATTAGATTTTTAAAGTACAGAGCTATATTAGGTAAACTTTACCTCTGGCATGGTCAGTAAAGGAAGACTGGACACCAGGAGGGGTCTCACCATGCCTGAAATAATTACAGCAAAAATTTCTGAATGTTAAGTGTACACCATGAAAAGTTTTCGAATGGTCCATGGGATAGATGAAGTAGAGATCATCAGTTTCTCTGACCTCAGTATAGAAATGAATTGTGTGGTGAGCACCAAGCCAAGGTCTTTAAGAGCCAGGTACCCATCAAAACTGGGTAGACTCAGGGACAAGAATAAATTTGTGCTTGGGTAGTAAACTAGAGACTTGCGGGTGACCAGTAGTGTGCTCTATTACTCAACCATGCTGCCTCACAAATTCTGGATGTTGCAGTAGAGCAGTAGAGAGATGATTGCTAGTCAGATGGTCTAATAATTAATTTCTGGCTCAAATATGCACAGTGTTGCTGAGGCCACTCAGCTGTAGTGGGAATCTAGCATTAGTCATGTTAGTGATAAACTTATCTGTAGTCACAGAATCAGAAACTATATGTCAGGGTAAGTGATAAGCTTAGCTGTAGTCAAATAATCCCATGACCACAGACTAGATCTGCCCTTTCAACTGTAAGGCTTTTAAAATTACTTATTTAATCTTAAATATAATATAATTTTGCTTAAAATATTTTTTCTTCTAAATATTAGTAAAATATGAACTATAAGTAAGGTGGACATTATAGTAGTAGCATCTAGAAAAGAATGCAAATGGAAGCAGCTTACTTAGTATTTCTGTGAACAATGAGTTCTACTTGAGGTTCCTGTTTTGACTCTAAAATAATATCATAAACTTCTTCAAAGGTTGCCCCCTGCAGTGAGCGACCATTCCACTCCACAACTTCATCACCTGTTGTGAATAGGTTTAACAATGTCTGGCATGTTCCTTTTAAAAAGACTAGTTATACTAATTTTTATATTACAATCAATATTAAGGCATAAATAGAAATAGGCATATTGGGGATCATTAATAAGTAAATTGAGGAGCTGTCCCACCATATGTAGGGAAATCGAGAACCTACCCCATAATAAATAGGGAAATTGATAATCTGTTCCATCATAAATAGGGAAATTGATAATCTATCCCATTGTTAATATTAAGGAAATTGAAAATTATCAGAATCTACCCCAACATAATTAGGTAATGGAAGAGATATCTAGAATCTATCTCATCATAAATAGGTGATAGAAGAGCTATCTAGAATCTATCCTATTATAAATAGGTATTGGAGGAGCTATCCAGAATCTATTCCATAATAAATAGATAATGGAGGAGCTATATAGAATCTATCCTATCATAAATAGGAGTTATCTAGAATCTATCCCATCATAAATATGTATTTGAGGAGCTATCTAGAATCATTCTATCATAAATAGGTAATGGAAGAGCTATCTAAGCATTAAAAAGAATGAAGTCCAACCCTAAAAGGTGACCTGCACAAACCTGGACGCAAATGGCCCACGGTGTCTGCTATACTTCCTTTCTTTACTTTTGTTATAAAGGCACCTAATTTTCCCGTTTCTGATACTTTCCCTCCAATGACCTTTAAACCTGGAATTGAAATCAATCAATGAGCTAATGCAAAGAGAGATGGAAATCGATTATTAATTAATAAACATGTCAATCAATACTGTGGGTAGTTTAATCAATCATTTTAAACAACATGAGCCTAAAGCAAACAGCAATAATAAATTTAAAAAGAAAAAATAATCACATGAAGAATGGTTTGTTTTAAGCAGGTAAGGTTGGGTTTTTATTTAATCTGCCACGGGTCTAGTTAGCTTGAAAACCAGTTTTAAAAAAGGGAGGAATTAACTATTAATCTAAATCACAAGAGATGCAAATAGATATAGGGAAAGTAACTATGACCAACGAAGCGGGGAATGTTGTAAAATATAAGGGGGAGGGAGGAGCCTACTTAAAAACCATTTCGTTACTCGGTTAAACAGAGGCCTATCTATTTTTCATAGCCAGTTAGCCTGGCCCGTTTTCCGATGTCTCTTCAATTTTTTATCCCCAGCGTAGGACTAGTCTTAAGGACGTGAACACGGGATCACAACCGTGGAAAAGGTGTGGGGTGGGGGAGGGGGGTAGAGTCGCAGTACAAGGGGTGTGGGGTCCTAGAGACGTGGAATAGAGAGGGTCCATAGTTTGGAATATGGAGGGATCCACAATTGGAAGAAGTGGGGGGGGGGGGGGGGGTTAACCGGCGTACAAGGGGTGGGGGTTCTAGAACTGTGGAAAAACGGTAGGGGTAGAGACGTGCAACAGAGTGGGTCCATAGTTTGGAATATGGAGGGGACAATTGCGGAACAAGGGGGGGGGGGTGGAGCCGTAGTACAAGGGGTGGGGGTCCTAGCTATGGAACTAAATAAACGAAAGGGGGTAGAGCCGTGGAACAGAGAGGGTCCATAGTTTGGAATATGGAGAGGGCAATAATTGTGGAACAAGGAGGTGGGGGGGTACAGCTAAGGAATAAGAGGGATCACAGCTGAGGAATAAGGAAGGGGGTGGGGGTCACAACAGTGGGGAAGGGGGAGGTCAGAGCCGTGGAACACGTACCCCTAAATTATTCATGTCCCTCCCCACTGTTAGGGGAGATAATTGTTCAGATAACGCCCAGACATAACACACGAGTTAGCCACTCACACACGTATTGATCCGGCGAGTTTTATCGATTCATCCGCCATTCATTCATTAGCCAGGCAAGTGAGTTGTTGTGTAACCCACATAACAGGCAGGTACATGAACATGGAAATTAAAGCTGCTTGCGGGATAAAAGAATTGTATTCAGCAATGGAACTGTTCGGTTAGCCGTACCCTCAAGATCTGATCGCTTGAGTCGCTGACATAGTACTCATTCGAAGCGGTTCGTTTTGGGTTGGTAGGGGAGGAGGAGGCGATGAGGGAATGTCTAATGAAAAGAACACTTTGAAATAAGAGCTAGGTGCATATACACTAAGATTGTATACACAGTAGGAATATACAATGACTACCATAGATGTGATCGGATATACTGTAGGCCTATACAATGAGCACAATGGCTGTGATCGTGTAATTGTAGACATACAACATGACAACAATATCTGGTATCGTATACAATGTGGGCATACACCATGACCACAATAACGATCGTATGCACTGTAGGCCTATGCCATAACAGCTGGTTTTACATACACTGTATAATGTAGGCATATAAATGAGAATGAGCACAATAGTTGTGATCGTGTAATTGTAGACATACAGCATGACAACAATATCTGGTATCGTATACACTGTAGACCTATGTCATAACAGCTGGTTTTACATACACTGTATAATGTAGGCGTATATTATGACCACACTACACTAGCTGTGAACGTATACAGTGTATCTGCCTTTATAATTATATTTTTGGCAACAAATGGCAGGATAAACATCGAGCTAAATTAAAATGTGTTTTTTAACCTAGATGTGACATTTAATGAACAACCCCCTTAGCCGAACCCAGCTTTACATTTAGATGTGACGGTTTTTCACGACCCTGCCCCCCCCCCCCCCAAATAGGTGACTTTTCATGAACAACCCCCTAGGTAAACCTAGATGTGACTATTTAATGAACTCCCCCCCCCTACCCCTAAGTTAAGCTAGATGTCATATTTCATGAACAACCCCCTAAGTTAAGCTAGATGCGATATTTCATGAACAACCCCCTAAGTTAAGCTAGATGTCATATTTCATGAACAACCCCCTAAGTTAAGCTAGATGTCATATTTCATGAACAACCCCCTAAGTGAACCTATACGTGACATTTCATGAACAACCCCCAAAGTAAACCTAGATGTGACATTCATGAACAACCCCCTAAGTAAACTAGATGTGACATTTCATGAACAACCCCCTAAGTAAACTAGATGTGACATTTCATGAACAACTCCCTAAGTAACCCTAGACGTGACATTCCATGAACAACCCCCTAAGTTAACCTAGATGTGACGGCATATAATGAACGACCCCCATAGCCCACCCCCCGACTTAACACTTGGTTGTTAGATCCGGTCCAGGAAGAAATGTATCATTTCCCAATGCTGTAGTTCATTTGTATGCAGGCAGGATACGACGAGCATATTTCGATCGGGTGCAAATCACAGGGCAGAACACAACGGATCATTACTGAATAACGAGAACCCTGGGATGGTGATGTAGGCCTAACTTGTATAGATCAGGTAATGACTACCGCTCACATTTTGGGAGGCCGACTTGTGTAAGTTCACAGTAATGTGTTATAACACTTATACAAAGTGATCATTATAACAGTGGATAATAAAAGATGATCTATTTTTTTTTATACAGACAGTAAATGAGTAATAAGAAAAGTCATAAAAATCAACATAAAATCTGGTAAACGTTTTGTGTATGTCTTCAGTCGTCACTGTCTACACCGAGATAGATCCATAGAGGCATCTCTTCTGGGGGGCGCCGAAGAAAGTCTACCGCCTCCCCCCCCCCCCCCCCAACGAAATGGTATTTATATAGAAAATATATACTTTTTAAAGTGGAAGAAACACCGGATAGTAGCGGGTAGAGTTTTGTCTTTTTGGCGAAGCCGCCACCATCAACATGGAACACTACGCCTCACTGATTCCCTGTATTTAAGAGTGACCTTACACGTTTAAAAAAAACTAATTACTAGAACTACTTTCCAGCCTGAATATGGATGGTCATACAGTTTTAAGGTCGGCGGGTTCGGATCGGTTAAGCTCACGGTTCGAACCCCCGGGCAAACGAGGCTGGATAGGTGGGAACAGCCACTCTTCTAGGAGAGACAACTCCACAATCAAACAACTGCTGCCTTGTAGTTTGTTCTTGGTTGGACAAAGGCTATGAAGCAAAACCAAAAAGAAAAGCAGACTGAAATCGGAGTCAACGATCTATATTGCGCATAACAAGTTGACACGTAATACTTAATTGTTTTGGAGGGAATTCCTTCCAACACTAAAATTAAGAACAAAGAAGTTTTAAGGTCTACAGAACAAACTCTGGGCAGGATGGTGTAAACATCAGGCTGAGTGAAAGGAGACCATGACCATGTCCAAACACGTATCCATTCTCTTAGTGTAGGAGCATGGGTGATGGCGTATCAGTGGCCCGTACCGTTAACCATCAATTCAAGATATATTCTGGGTGAACTGGACACAGAACAACAACTTTAATTTTGTGGTAGCGCCTGGCTTAAGAGGAAATAACTCGGCTGATAGAGGTTAAAGTAAGAAAGAAGAAACAGAACACGCAGTAAAATGATTCGGTAGAAACAGAACACACAGTTCAGTCATTCAGTAGAAACAGAACACGAAGTAAAATGATTCAGTAGAAACAGAACACGAAGTAAAATGATTCAGTAGAAACAGAACACGAAGTAAAATGATTCAGTAGAAACAGAACACGAAGTAAAATGATTCAGTAGAAACAGAACACGAAGTAAAATGATTCAGTAGAAACAGAACACGAAGTAAAATGATTCAGTAGAAACAGAACACGAAGTAAGATGACTCAGTAGAAACAGAACACGAAGTAAGATGACTCAGTAGAAACAGAACACGAAGTAAGATGACTCAGTAGAAACAGAACACGCAGTAAAACGATTCAGTAGAAACAGAACACGCAGTAAAATGATTCAACAGAAACAGATCTCAAAGTAAAATGATTCAGTGGGAACAACACGAAACAAAATTATTCGGTAGAAATACTTCACGCTGCCGAATAATGTTCAGTGGAATATCACGATTATGATACAGTTTCAATGTACAATGTATATTAAAAATGTAAGAAAAATTGAGCTCGCTAGTAAATGTCAGTCAGATTTCAACCTTATTTTATTACACAAGTTTCAGGTTTGAACAGAATTTTAGATGTATGCAAAACTTTAAACAAATATTCTCCACTTAAAAACAACGTCTATGACTGAAACAATTAAATTTCTAATCCTTTTCTCGCCTCTCGTTTGTACTGATTGCTCTTAGAACGAGTTCACTTCGAGGGTTGAACGTTTTATACAGACGAAAAAAAAGTACTTGGAATAAAACGTGACGGGGAAATACGACCTGTTTCCCTGCATTTGTAAACACTGGTCAATAAGTTATTGACTACATTATCATTTCATAAGCGTGAGTCACCTGGGTGTAGGTGACCAATGACGTCAATGTGACATCTGGCGGCGGTCACTGGTCTAGTTAACACGACTTCTTGGTGAGAGGAATCTAACACGACTTCTTGGTGATAGGAATCTAACACGACTTCTTGGTGATAGGAATCTAACACGACTTCTTGGTGATAGGAATCTAACACGACTTCTTGGTGAGAGGAATCTACAACCGTCGCGCGTCTAGAAGGACTAAACACGCGGATTTTGTAGTGGGGTTTTTTTCCAGGCATCTCTCCGGGAGGAGTGTTGTCCGTAAACCCCCACCCCTCCTCTATGGAGCATGTCCACCGAAATAGAAAAATAAAATGTATTTAAACAGAAAAATATATATTTATAACATTTTAAGCCCATATATCCCCGGGAAAGTATAAAGTCACCCTCAATTCACCCCAGAGCAAATTGTTTGAAAGAAACCCTGGGTATTAGTTACATAAATATACAACTCTTACTACTATGTCTAATAATCACAACGGCTGTGTGAATTATTATTTTTTAAATTAGGTACCTACATCTATCAAAATAATGAAATAGAACCACACATCATTGTATCTATTAAAAAAAAAACTGAACATTAGAACCATAAGAAATCGTTCCGACAGATATAAATGCTGACGCTCAATGCCACTTTATAAGACAATAAAGCAACTAGCATCCAGGGTCGACAATTAAGACCTGTGTTTAACAGTACACTCGTACACACCCACTCAGGCATCGATTCATTACCTCACAGAATAATGCCGACACGTCAACCAGTCTAGGGTTTCCAAAATAAACTTCCTATTTTAGGACAAAAATCAATAGAAGGGATAGGACGGAACAGCGCTGCAGTCGGTTTTTTGTCCCCTTTGCTCTATATTTGAAAACAGGGTTCATAGATTTGTTCATAGCAAGTTGTCTCTACGTAATTTCTCTTAGCTATGGTATATGTAGTATCTCTTGTGCGTGGGTCGGTATTTTTGTCCCCTTGCTCTATATTTGAAAACAGGGTTCATAGATTTGTTCTTATCAAGTTGTCTCTACTTAATTTCTGTTAGTATAAGGTATACTATTTTAACGGAAACTCAACTATGCTTTAAAGCATGATGTATAAAATAACCATGTCCAAACCAGCTCTTACAGTACAAGGCTAAACACAGATTATTGTTGGTAACAAATCTCTTTGCACTCTATATATCTAGCTAGTCGACCATTTATAAGTAGTCATGCAATTAAAGCTGCCTGCAGTAACTAATGCTAAGTAAAGTAATTTTATTACTAAGCACAGTAACTATGTAGCTAAGTACAGTAACTCTGTAGCTAAGTACAGTAACTCTGTAGCTAAGTACAGTAACTCTGTAGCTAAGTACAGTAACTCTGTAGCTAAGTACAGTAACTCTGTAGCTAAGTACAGTAACTCTGTAGCTAAGTACAGTAACTCTGTAGCTAAGTACAGTAACTCTGTAGCTTAGTACAGTAACTCTGTAGCTAAGCATAGTGACGCTAAAGCTATTAAGTACAAAGACTCTATAGCTAATTGCAGTAACTATAGCTAAGTATAGTGACTGTAATGTTACGAACAGTAACTATGGCTAAGTACAGTAACTCTAAAAACTAAGTACAGTAGCTATAGCTGTGCAGTTACTATATAGTTTCCTGCAGTAGTTATATCGCTAAGTATGATAACTCACGTCTTATTACTGTATCAATAGTAACAATAGCTAATGAAATTACTTCTATAGCTAATTAGAATGACAGTATATTTAAGTACAGTGATGTAGGCCTATGCCTATAGCGTAATTTTAATTTTCTTAAATAAGGACTACACCTCATATAACAGATATGAAGGATTTGGCAAGGCAAAAAAAAAAAAGAATCCTTGAACAATGTTTGACCAAGGATGTCATGTCTGTTTGTGTGTGTATGTGTGTTCATGATGGGAGGGGGGTGCGTTTTCGTTGTTGTGCTGTAGTGTCAAATGTTTAAGTACAGAATTGTGTTCATATTGTGTTTACATCGTGTTCAACATGTAGGCCTACGTTCTTTAAAAAAAAATCATGTTTAATGATACTACACCTATTATGCCTCCTACCTATACCAAACTAGAAAAAAATATTTTATTTGTCAAAAAAAAGTTGCATGTCATTTCCGCGAATATATTTTTAAATTAATTAATATACTGTACAAATAATTTTTCACAGTTCCTTATAAGCTGAACACCGCAAAAGATATGTTTCTGTAACTTAAGAATGATGGTCGTTGTTAATCCCCCTTTAACAAGATCATTAATATCCAGTTGTTTGTTGGGGTGAAATAGATTGGCCGGGGTCGGTAAAATGACAGGAAGACAAACGAGACACGAGTACGCCTCAGTGGGGAAAAAAAGGAGTGATGTAACACATTGTTCGGCTGGGTGTACATCTGGTGTGTTGGCGTTCAAAAATGTTTGGGGGGGGGGTCGGTCAGATATGAGGTAGTGACCCTATGGGAGGAAGGGGAAGGGTTTAGACGTGTGTGGTGATAACGGGAGGGGATTGAAATGAGGTGCTGGTGTTAAACATATGATTGGGGGTCGTTGTGACCCTGGGGGAGGGGAGAGATGGGGAAGGGTTCAGACGTGTGTGGTGATAAGGGGAGGATTAAAATGAGGTGCTGGTGTTACACAAATGATTGGGGGTTTGTTTGGTTATAACGGGAGGGGATAAAATGAGGTGCGGGTGTTTAAAAAATGATTCGGGGAGGGGGCATGGTGACGCTGGGGGGGGGGGGGGGGGATTGGAAGGATACGCAGAAGAAGTTTAAAGAACTGCCACATATACATTCTAAAAAAACTAAAACATGTCCATGTTCCTTGAAACTATGCTTAAGATGAAAGAGATGGGGGTATGGCTATAGGAACTGGTAGTACTCGGTGACTTTTTTGTTTTGGGTGGGGGCAGTTGCCTTCTTTAGGAGCGCTTCATTTAAAGGGGGAGGGGCGAAACTCAATCCGGTTGATATGACAACCCTCACAGCCTATCGTGTTGTTTGTAAAAGCATTCATTATAGACAACATACCAATATATTTGTTTTATAACTGAGGTCGATATTTATATTGTTTAAATATTTTAACTCAGGTCATTGTCCTCATTTTTCTTGTTATCTTTTATTTCTATTTAAAGTTGAAAAGAAAAAAAAACATTTTCCCAGGGGACGCTGCTCACCACTGATTGTTTTTTTATCATTTTTTATTGGTTGTGCCTTTTGTTCAAGATTTTAAATATTTTTTTAAAGATTACATTTAATGTATTTCAAAACAAAATTAAGTGTTGAATTGAAGGTTTTACTTTTTTTCAAGGAAGCTAACAAACCATTACTGAATTAAATGAAAGCTGGAGTGAATAAGCTGCTGCAGGACAATATAAACCACAAGTATGTAAGCTTAGAAAACACTTTTTTTTTTTAAACTAAGCAATTTGTGATAAAGACATATAATGATATAGTAGATTATAAAACTACAGAAAATGTAATGAGATCAATAAGATATTTGATAAGATAAAAATACATAACTGTAAGACTTTAAAAGTTTGAAGTTTTATATAAAACACCAGGCAGTGCCAGTGAGAGGGAGATAATCCCTCCATCATGCAATAGTTGTGCTCTTTGTAAAACAGGACAGTGAGGCAAAAAATGACAATAAAATTGGGGGAGGTGGATGTTTCATACAAAAAGATTGATTTATTCTGGGGTTTTCATAAAAACATGAAAGGGGGGAGGGGGGTCTGATGTTACACTTACAGGGTGGGGATTAAGTTCAGACTTAAGTTACAATGGGATTTGTGTGGAAGGATTTTAAAATATATAGTGTAGGGATGTCTAACTCTTTTTACAGAAGTGTGACAATATAAGAGGATCACTTAATAGACTCACTAAGATAAATTGGTTTCTAATTGTTTGGGTGTCTATATTACTGTGGCTTTGAAAATTCATACAGGATCTAATTATGGAATTTTGTTTAGTTAGAAACTATTTTTATTAGTAGGCCTACCTTTAACTATATTATTAGGATTTTTGAAGTGGGTAATTTTTAAATTTTGCTAAAATTAGAATAGTATATTCATGCGTACACCAAAAAAAAAAGTAGCTTTTAAGAAAAAATTTAAAAGTTGGAAAAAAATTCGGTACCTAAAGCTTCAGAGCGGCCTTGTTAATGGGAAGAAACAAATATAAAAATTAATTTGAAATATTTGAAACTGTTACTTTTAGAATTCACACTTTAAAAGTAAAAAAGAATATAAGCCATATTCATCTCTTTTTAGATAGGTTTTAATTTTGTTAACAAATACTTTTATTAAACTTAATCTGATCACCTATGCTTTTAAAACATTTAAATTCATCAGTTGTGTAAAAATTAGATGTTTGATTAATGACACATGCATGAATTGTTAAAATCTTAAACTTCAATGAGCTTAGTCTACTTTGCTGAAAAAATAAAGATCAAATCTAATCTAATGTTGATGTACTAATAAAAACCTGGTCTTACCAACTAAACAAAAGAGTACACTGTATTTATTAAAGAGGTTAACTTTGAGACTTACCTAAAATGGCAATAGAATCCCTTTTTTCCTCTCCTCCTTCTAAGACAGTTTTTTTGAGAATCATGTGACCAATCCACTTAGTGCCATCAGCTGACAACTGCCATGTCACTGGATGCTATAAGATTATTCAAACCCATGGTCAAATCATTTACATGTAAGTCTTACCTCCAAGTGTAATAATGTTAATTTCTTCAAGAGATAAAAGTATTTGTGGGTTAAATCACATCACCATGTAGACATATAAGCTTTACTATATTGTACCATTTAAATCTGGTACTAAACTAGCCTATACCATGAAGCAAAATACTGTGTCCTCATTTGAGTATGGTAGGCCTACAAAACAAGATTGTAGGCTACCGTGAAACAAAATATTGTTCCATCATATAAGTATGATAAAAGAAACTAGCCTGTGCCATACAAAACATAGTACAGAATGGTATGGCTTTAACTCACAAGTACTGAATAAATATTTCTATTATTCTGAAGTATTCACATTTCTAACTACAATAATGTTTAAGAAATATGAGATGGCTAAACACAATTATATTTTTAAGCATAAGTACTAATTTTTAAAATTAACATTGTGTATATAACTAAAATTGCATTAAAAAGTACTGTGTTACAAATTTAATGATTAAAACTGTTATCTAGTTTCTATCAGAAGCTTAAAACCATATTAAAATAAATACAGAAGGATAATTTTGTTATGCTTACAAATTAGACTACTATATAATGTAAATTATTAGTAAATTTTAAAAATATTATAAGGAATGTAGATCTAAAGTTATGAGTTATTTTAAACCCACAATTTCACTATTTTTATAATCATATCTAGTTTTTCTATCAGCAGACTTGTTTAATCTAATTCACTTAGAAGTACAGATATACAAATAACAACAATAATTTGATTTTAAAAAGTGCAAAAGGTAAGTAGATCTAATTAGGTGTAAACAAATATAAAGAATCTTAACATTGCTCTTAAATATAGGCTACATTAGAAAAACATCACAATTTAAAAACACCATTTTTATTTACTAGCTCATTATTGATTGTTAATAGTAATACCAAAGTAATTGAAAAAATTATTATCCCAATAAATAAAATAAAAATGTAAAATAAATACCCACATTTTGGTAAGTTTTAGATATTTCCAGTAGGATATGTTGTTAATTAAGGGTTAATTTATTATCTAAAACCTAGATACAAAAATCAGCAACAACAATATATATTAATATAGGCCAGTGATTTGTTATGAATATATATTTTATTTATTTATTAGTTGACAAACCCACCCTATTATTCTCAATTAATATTGCTAATGAAGTACTGAAATTATTTTTTTTAAGTTTTAAAGGTTAGCATCTTTGGCATCTATGTCTTTATTACCTTAATTTAATTATTATTTTCAAAAACATGTTGTTAGCTAAGTTAATGTTTTTTTTTAGTTATCCAGCTTACTATCTTAATTTTAATTTAAACTATTAAATTTAGTATTAAAATCAATTTTATTATTTTTTCTTCAGATCAATTTTTTTTTCATTTTTTGTTATTTAATGTGTATGATTCCACTGACCTTCTTACTTTTAGATCTATTAATTATTAGTGTTTATTTTTTAAATCACATAGATCTAGTACTAATTGTCTAATTATTCATTATAATTATATTCATTATATTATTTTTTATTATTATATTATTAATAATTAATTATTATTATATACTTATCTATGCATTGTTAGTTTAATTGTTACTAATAATTTGTTACTGTATTAAATAATTATTTGTAGATAATAAAAAAAACTGCAAATAATCAATAAATCAAATATATATTATAGATCTAGAATAGGGATTCCAGATACTAGATATAAACAAAATCCAACTGCAAGTAACTAGATCTAGAATCTAGATCTAGATCTAGAGTCTAGAATAAGATCTAGAAATCTAGTAACAAAGTAACTGTAAGTAACATAGTATGCTCATGCCTCAAAACTCATGTCATTATTTAGTATTGAGTATTATTGACTCATTGAGTATAATAAAATTATAATTAAATAATATTGTAATTGATTGAATCATTGATTGATTGAATGAAAATCGTTTTTTTTTTTTGTTGTTGTTTTATTTAATATTTAATCTTTATATTTTTTAAAGTAAAATCCCTAAATGCCCTATAATATTTTATTTAGATCTAGATCTAGATTCTAAATCTAGATATAGATCAAGAATCTAGACGTAGATTTCTAGATCTATTCTAGATCTAGATTTCTCTAGACCTAGATTCTAGATCTAGATCTAGATCTAGATCTAGATCAATAGGCCTACTTGTCTAAAAGACAGAATTTTTTTTGTGATTTTAAAATATTTTACTTCTGCAACTTTTTCTAGAGTTAAGAGTAGTCTCCCCTTATTATAAATTATCCGGTGTGCAGTTAAAAATGTACGTTGCTTGAAACTATCACTATAAACTTACTATAAAGTATAACTCAAAGGTTAAGATTTAGTTAATCATTTTGGGATTTTATTTTTAATATTCAAAGTAGACTATTAAAATATATCTTTTGGATAAAAACTACAATACCCATACAATCGGTCTCGAAATATTGCCTACACGTTAACTTTTTATTTATTTATTTATCTTTTTTTTAAAAAATGTGAACAAAACTAATAAGAGTCTTCTGGATTTACTAGTTGACTTAAATTTGTATTAGTGTCCTAAATTTGTTTTAATTGGTCAATCAAATTGAGTGGCTACAAACATACAGCAAATAACATGGAAGTATATACAAAACATATTGATTTTTAATAAAAAGCCTCAATTTTTATAGCCTCAAACAGTATATCCCTGATGTACTTCTGAAATAAGTAGCTTTGTACGCTCATGTCATTTGCAACAAAAATATTATTGAATGTGTGGTGATACGTGATTACTGGAATACATCCACTATTTAAATACTGTGGAAATATATATATATACATAACAATAAAAAGTACGAGATTGACGAATATAAAATAATAATAAAGATAATGCTGAAAGTAACAAAATTTTAAAAGTGCTTATTTTTTAGGAAGTAAAACTTTTTTTAAGAACTCACAAAGTATTACGTTAAGCAGACCTAGTCTTTGTTGAGCACAACTATCATGCATCGTTGTCGGCCAACAAGCTTAGATCTATATGTCTTTATGTACATACGTCATTTTTAACATTAATTGTATTGAAAAAAAGTTACGACTAGGAATAAGCCTAATATTATACGGCCATTCCCAGTCGACTTGAAATAGACACTCCCAACGTATTAACACGTAATACTTTATGATCAAATGCAAATTTTTTAAAAATGCATATCCAGCACAAAAGAGCAAGCAAAAAATAATACAAGAAAACACAGACATTTTTTAACATAGGATATAAGCGATCATGCAATTTCACGGGGGAACTAGAAAGGGTTTGGTTCTTTTGAAAGCTTATACCAGACAATCGAGGTGCGGAGTGCTAACTGGGGGGTTCCAGGTTCAAACCCTTAGTACACGATGATTTTCATTTGTGTTGGAGCAGGAGTAACGTATATTTAGCATCACGGTGCGACCACGTGAAGACTTTACCAATTCCACTTTCGTGTGTGGAAAATAAATAAACAGTCAGACTTATTTTACATTTTGCAATATACACCGATTTATCTCTCAAATATACAACGAAAAAATCTACTGCATTTAAAATGTATCTAATTTTTTTATTTGTATATACCAGAGTCAGGCAAAATAAATTGAGGCAGAATTCTAAAGTGTATGAAATATGGAGCAGCGTATGGCTTTTGTTTTGATTCATTGACGTTAATTACAAACATTAACCGCATTTCGTTTTAAACTACTGGCATTCCCACAGATATAAACGCCCTAGATTTTACTGGTTTTTATTTAGCTTTTATTTTTTCGTTTTGTTTCTTTATTTGCTTTTCTCTTCAATCTATATTTGACAACACAGTGCGCAAAAGAATAGGTTTCTTAAGTTGTAGCTTAAACATTTTATTTTTTAAAAAAAACTAACATTTAAAGTTTGCGTGTTTTAGACAAGTTAAATGTAGTTACGCTATTTAGCTATTTAATATTCCAAAATAATATTATTCGGTGATTTTATTTGATGGGTTTCGAAAATTAGTTCACAGCGCAAAGAATACTAGACACATTTTAAACCAAACACCGCCTACTGACCTAATGACTGCTAAGATCCGTGATAACATTTTTATATTTATCTGGCATTATTAATTGAATTTTTGCTTTCTGAAAATGTGTATATTTAAAATTTAAAAAAAATGTGTTTAATAAGATTAGGCTGCTATAAATAATCACAAACATAGTATAACTCGGAAGCAAGCTTTTATTTGAAGATAAGATAATTTTTTTCCCTAGTAAAATCGATTTAAAATAGTTTGGTTTAGCATACTTCAAGAGGCATAGATTTCATGGGTTGTAAAAATAAACAACTTAAACTTAAAAATAAATGTTTAGTTGAGGGGGAGCGGCGGCATTGGGTTGAATTTTGTTGTGATGCCATTTGCTTTCTAAAGAGTATTGTGAAAGGCTGGTTTTTTTGTTATTCTGTAATGATATACGATTAATAAAGGAACGGATGGATGTCAAAAGATAAGTGAATTTATTTATGGAAGATTGCTTTAACCCATATTTTAAATGATTATTTTATCTTATTTTACAGTTCATCTTGTTTCAAAGACGAGTGAAATAATGTTACGATATATTTATCGTAACATTATTTCACTCATCAACGTCTTTAGTTAATTTATAAATATTTCGTTGGCTTGACAAACCAATAAAATGTTTGTTAAAAGTGTTGAAACGTGTGGTGTTGTTGGTGGTCAGGAAATTTAAAATCGCGAAAAGCTAAAATTCCAAAATATTAATTACCTAAATTTTTATCGTATTCCCTCACGTAGTTTAAACGTATCAAGCACTAGGCCTACTTTATTTTTCCCCAAGAGATGAGCATAGTTCATAAAATACGTGGGCGGATCCACGTTTAGCTTAAGAAAATAACGCTTTAACTTAACAAGGAGATATGGGAGGGAGGGGTGAGGGGTTACCCTTTTGAACACTGTTTAAATAGCGCTGCTCTATAAAATTTACTATAAATGGACTTTTTTTTCGAGTTGTACGAAGAATAGTTACATTTCCTAACAAAAGTAAATTATAATATATTGATGATCTTTACTTCGATCTCACTAATTTTGACCTCTTCCGTTTATTTATAACCCGCATCAGTGTATACAGCATTGCTGCTGTTATGCTATTTAGTATTTCTAAATTTACTATTTTTGCTTTTTTAAATGTGCGTCTGATTTCGATAAATAGATGGCGCTCTCGACTGTTAATAATCGGTGAACGCAGTCATTATCCCACCCGGTGTCGACACAGTATAATCACCATTATAATACTGCCTGAGTAATAACAGACTAAATAGCACTGTGTTGGTGTTTTATGCTAGATGCAAAGCGAGAAACAACATCAATGTGCTAGAAAGTTGTTTCAATTGTCATAATTTAATGGAAATTTTTATAAAATGATTTCCTTTTAAGTATTACGATGTTTACATTTATTTTTATCAAGGAAATGAAGAATTACCAAAGAAAAAAATATTTAAAAATGAAGATGCATAAAATTTAAGAAATGCTTTCTATCAATGCAGGGATAAGAAAGTTATTTTTTTTTACATCAGGTTAGAAACGTTTGAAATATCATTTCCTAAAAATGAACTGAAAATGAATTTAGGGAGGGAGGGAGGAGGGTTGGGAATGCTGAAATAGGGTAGGTGTCCAAACAAAAGCTAAAGTGTTAATCACGCAAAGAAGAGTGTGTTTAAAAAAAGAACAGTATCGGCACTTGAAGAAATTTTAAAATATGTTAAAGTTTAAAAAAAAAATTAAAACAACTTTTGTCAACAATATAACGGGAAAGGGGAGACGACTACATAAGAAACATAAAAAGTTTACCTCCTTAGTGTTAGCTTCCTACAAAACAAAATTTTAATAAAGTGAAATAGCATCTAAATTATAAAATATCTTTCTTCTTTAAGGTTGTATCAATTGATTCATAAAACAAAGGGGTTTTAACTCCTTTATTCTACACGTATTATCATATTCGCCCACTATTCAGTTTCACTTGGAGTATGTTTTAACACTCAAATCACTAACAAAACACAGCTGCCGTTTTTCTTTGTATGGTAATCAGGGTGTTTATTAAATAATAGGCTTTACTAAACAGCTTTATTTTCTAAGTGTGAAATATTTAATTAACTCTACGAAGAAAAATTGTTATTTAATTTTTTTTTAAATATATAACTTCAGGTGCCTGTTACTGCTTTATAAAACAGTGGAGGTTGAGGAGGGGGGGGGCGACATAAGAGGAAATTGTTATGAATTAGGAGGGAGTGGGCAATATAAATTCAAACGGGGCAGGGAGTGTAGACTCAAACTATATATATATATATATATATATATATATATATATATATATATATATATATATATATATATATATATATATATATATATATATATATATATATATATATATATATATATATCCCTCACTCAATCCACATTATACGCGTGTTTCATAGTAATTTAATTTTTTTTTAATTTCTTTTTTTATATTTACAAACCATTTTTTTTTTCGCGAGTATAGATCTATATGTATGTTATTTTTCTGTGGGAATGCTTACAAGTTTTATTGATTTTCAAATTTTCGGAACCTTAAAATTCTACTATTTGTAATTGAGTTGTCTAAATTTCAAAAAGACTGTTTTAGGAAAAAAAAAGTTAGCAAGATGCACAGCTCTTTACAAAAAAATATATCTTTAAAAACTTATTTTAAAATGTAATTTTATATTTGTTCCAGGCAAATACATAACAAATTAATATTTTTTCCGGCTTTGTTATTCAAATATTTCAAGAATGCTCGAGAAATATAAACTGGTTTCGTGCCAAACAGGGGAATTAAAATTTGGTTTCGGGTTATCTACCTTTGGGTGTCGCTTGGACAAAACTTCGTCCACGTTGTTCAAAGTCTGGTTGCTACTAGATGACAGCCCAGTATCGTTTCCGCTGTCCTTGACCGGCGGCTCAGAGGATCCGCTTTCCGTGTCTAGGCTAGTGCCCCTCCCCGTATCGTACAGGGTGGGCTTGTGAAGGCACTCAATCTTGCCCCGTGTCTGACTGGACCTATTTGAGCGCTGGCTACCATTCACGCTTTCTAGCTCCCCTAAGCAGGATAGGCAGGAGTTACGTGTATAAGTTACAGGAGTAACATGGAAATTATAAATAAAAAAATAATAACGTAAAATGTAAATTAGGCTATTTTTGTGATATACGAGAAAACACGTACACATAGGTTAAAGGTTGGTTATTCGTTTACTTACCTGTTCGTCAATGCTCATCGTATCATAAAATAGCGTAAATATTTCTTGCATACATCACTCACACAATATGATGTGTGGTATGGGTCGACGCCCACACGTAACTCACACATGAGTTGTTGTATGGTACGACGCTTACACATCACTTACAGAATATGAGTTGTGCAATTGGCCGACACCCACACATATAACCTATACTATATGAGTTGTTATGTAGGCCATCACCCTCACATCAGCGATAGCAGTGTACAGCTATCAATAGTAACTGTGTGGGCCTTAACTGCAGCAAATACGCTAACCTTCCCCGTGGACCGTCAGCAACAACTATGTTGACCTTGATTATGGGCCAAGAACAACTACGCTGACCCTAATAGTAGGGCCATCAGCTACAACTATGCTGACCTTCACTGTGGGCCATGAGCAAGAACTACACTGACCTTCAATGTGGGCCATGAGCAACAACTACGCTGACCTTCAATGTGGGCCATGAGCAACAACTACGCTGACCTTCACTGTGGGCCATGAGCAACAACTATGCTGACCTTCATTCACTAAACTTGACACACTCCTGTACTAGCCTAGGCTGTTTATCATTTCTCTCCATTCTAAAACTACACAATCAGTAACACACAACTACCAAAACAAAGTTCCATAACTCCAAGCGACCATTGATTATGGCCCCTGGTTTGATTTCTCTGTCTAGACTAGGATACACAAAATCAACCAACACATATAAATCAAGACGCAAAAAAAAACGCGCGCACACATCATACATATAAGTTATGTAATACATATAAATAACCTATGATTAAAAGTTTACATCCGGGTTTCTAGGCGGGGAGCTCATGTCTATGAATCTATGAAATAAATGTAATGGTAACTTAGAAATCTATTTTTGGAAATAATACTTTGTCAAAAACCGATGTAGGATAAGTGTAATGAGTACTAGTCTAATTCCTATACAACGATAATGTTTACTGGGGTTTTTTTAATATTAGGCCTAATTGTTAAGTGTAGGTTAGGAGCACTTTATATATTTATATTGAAGATTTTTTAAAATTAGGGACATTTATTATTAACTTAATTACTATAGCTCTGTAATTATTTTAAGAAAACTTTAGAATTCTCAGTACAAGGGAAAGTTAAATAACCGCGCCAAACTTGTACACATAGATGAGCTCCCTTTACCAGAATCTGAACAAGAAGGCTGAAAGAACACTGCAGAGGACGAAAACACTGAGCGCTACAAGCGAACATGCAGAATTAAGACCAAGCCACAACCAGACGACCCCCGTCCATGGGGTGCCGCACCCAGGGTACCTGCTGTTTTTTTTTCAGGCGTCTGGAACTTACCGAAAGAAATTTTTTAATCTTAGCCGCTAAAATCTCATCCTTTTTCCACCGCTCATCCTGGTGCGGGTAATCCCCGCTGTAATAGTCACTGGTTTTGACGGTGACAGCTTTTCAAGGGGAACAAGAAATCAACGAGTTTAAATTTGACTAACACCAAGTTAGAGTAGACTCCCTTTAAAGTTAGACAGGAAGAGGTAAAGCTTAAAAACCATTCTTTTTAGCGGTGAGTAACGTGGTGGTGGGGGGGGGGGGGGGGATGAGAATACACAGATTATTTATGAACTTTTTCAACAATATTAGCACACTTTGTAATTTCTGAAAACTTCAGATCAAAATTTTATTATATTGATCTGCATTGAAAACTAAATACCTGGTCTGTTTGAATGGGCTTCGAAACTGTTATTCGTCTCATCCGGTTGGTTAATTCGAAATAAAAAAAAGACTGAAGCTTGGCTAGATAAAGAAGTAGGTTCTGTACAAAAAACTCCCTACATTCAGCTAGGTCAGTAGTTTTTAACCTGGGTTCGATCGATCCCTAAGGGTTCGGTGGGTCAGTCTCAGGGGTTCGGCGGGGGTCAAGACACACACCCAACACCTACGATTCACGATCTGATTTTGTCAGTACGGACGACAGAACAATCAAGAAGGGTTCGGTGAATGCGCACATGAGAGTAGTGGGGTTGGGTACTTCCAAAAAGTTTAAGAATCACTGGTCTAGGTTTTTCTTAAATGAAATGTTTCAAAACAAGTAATACTAAGATTCAGTGGTAGGGTTTGTGGAACAGTGCGCATCTAGCGTCAAAAGTCTTGATCTCCAAGTGTGCGTAGCAGTCAGCCTAGCATCGTATGCTTAATCTCCATAGCTGTGTATCAGCATATCATCGTATGCTTAAAATATGATGGGGGTTTAGTTTTGCTAAATGAAACAATGCGAGCTGTTTAACAATTAAAGTCGTACCCAGATCGTTTCATCCCAAATGTTAAAGAAATATGGTCGAAAAATAAAATAAGGCTGTCATATTGTGAAGTTCTGATTTCCTTTAAATTGACAGTGACCATTCTTGAGTAATGATGTCTTCGACCGTGGTCTGTCTAGTCAAGGGTCACTCGTCTACACTCGTTTCGAACTCCGGCCAGCAAGATAAGGTTTCAGTTGGACGGCCCCTCACGTTGAACAACACACACAAGAGCCTCGATGGATTATGTGTAGGTGGAGTAGAACTGTCGTTCGAAAAGTTCCATGGCCACACTCAGACTCTTGAGGTTACTGTTACTGTATTACAACGGCTGTGCCAGGTTTTTCCAGCATTAGATGTTTACATATCAACTGTTTCTAACAAGACAAAGCAACTTGTTGTTATCTCACATCGTCTTCTTCGTTCTTAATGTGTCTACAGTGTAGGATGCTACAACTAGTCTAAATAGACGAACTGTTCAGTATTCTACACCTCAGCAAGCACCTAGTATAATTTCTCTGTGAGTGGAATTTTGGAGCCAAAGTTAAGACTGAGTCTGTTGGTACAAAGTGCAGTCAGGTAAAATATGTTTGGTATGTTCTAGAACAATACAATAAAGGAAGTCTTGTTGGAAATTTTAAAATTCCGGAACATGTTTTGTTGCGTTCCTGTTCTTTGTCTAAAGATTATTCGTTATTCCTATAGTATGCGTCGTCCTTGGTATCGTTCAGTTGGGAGTCAGAACACATATTGAATCGATTTCTTTGTAGTATTCTTTGTATATCTTTTGCAAATAGTAACACTTCTTGTTGCTTAATTTTCTCACGTGAAAATGTAAGCCTCGAACAACCTTCACGGTAAACTAAGCGGTCAATTTCTCGGTACTGTTTTAATCGTGGTACATAATTAGACATTCTTCTTCTTCGTTCTTAATTCTAGTGTTTGTAGATATTCCCTCCAACACAACTAAGTATTACGTGTTAAACTGTTATGCGCCATTTGGGCCATTGTCTCCGATTTCAGCCTGCTTTCTAGATTTGCATCCACAGCCGTTTTCCACCTAAGAACAAACTACAAGACAGTAGTTGTTTGATTTTGGAGTTGTCTCACTTAGAAAAGTTGCTGTCCCCAGCCATCGAGCCGCATATGATAAGATAGGGTTAGTGCTAGGGTGGATTTAGGGTTAAAGCTAAGATTAATTGGCTTAAAGACTAGCTAAAGTATCATGGTACCCTATAATGAACACATATAATTGACCCAGCTTAAAGAATGGTTTTATCGCTTGTTTATGAAGGGATTATATACTTCAATGCAAATATCGAAGCTGCATTGTTCCGATCTACTAATCTACTAACCCTTTAAGCCGTGGACATTAAATACGCTGAGAGCGCTAACACTTGGTCACGGGATGGATGACGCAAACAGGAAAACAATGGCGGACCTGACTTTGTGAAAACATGACAAGGAGTAACACTTGTACCCAACCAAATTACACACGGTATGGGGGGCAACAGGTTGCTTGCCCATACACTGTACACGCTTCATTGGGCTTAGAGAAATTGGGTTCAGTTCAACACGCACAAGAACACACTACACACATAGCCCATTAGCTTAAAATCCAAACGGGACAATAGTATCGAAATAAAAAAAAATAATAATAATTTTGAAGAAACATACATAGACAGATATACGGTCTGGTATACATTTAAAAACTGGGAATTCTGGGAATTAATTTGACACGTGACAAATGTTTTTTCTTTGTGCGTGGATAAAATACGTGTCATGCGCACTTGTTACTGCGCACACGTGATGACATACGTCACGTGACTTTGCTAGCCCATGTCATGACGTATGGTGTGACAGGGTATAAAAGAATGAGAGACAGACCCACCCCACCCCTTTTCCTTTACCCTGAAACGACAAAAAAAACAACACAAGCACGCACTGAAAACGGCACAAACAGACAACTGGGCTCTGACCTTTCTCGCTCACACTTTCGCTCTCAAGGTCAACCTCCTCACAGCTGGAGCCCTCCGGCGTGGACTGGATCTCGTCTTCACTGCTGCTGATGCTCTGCTGCCGCTGCTTCTTCCCGCGCTTGTGCTTGTGGGGTTTGGGAGGGGGCGGCCGGACGCAATCCGAGGGGTCGGAACTGAGCGAGTCATTGCGCAGCATGGTTTCCAGTTTTTTCCGATTGTTGCGGGTTCGACCCCCGGCTGAGCTGGGGTCTAAATGCTGTTTTTTATCATTCGGGTCGACGATGATCGTGTCCCGGGGATCCTCGGCCTGGGTGTCGCTGGCGTGATCGATGAGGATCCGGTGTCTGGAGAACTGTAAATCTTCCGGCACGTCTTTCCCGCCGAACCGGTCTCGATCCCGCTCCCGGCTCGGCGACCGGCGCTGGTCTTTTGCGGAGCGTTCCCCGCGGTGATGCCGGCTCCCTCCGCGGCGATCCAACCTCCCCTCCCCTTCTGGTTCGGGCCCTCCCTGGGCCGGCGTTGGCTGGTGATCGTTCAGGCGTTCTCGGGACCCCCTGTAGTTATTCTTATCCGAGTAGTCACGGCGTCCGTTGACCGGACTTTGCCGGTAACGCTCGCCCTGCTCGCCGCCCCGGCCGTCCTTCCGCCGGTCCTTGACGTCACGCCGCCGGTCCTGCTGTTCGCGGTCGTCATGGCGTCTATCGTGAGGACCGTCCCTGGGTGGGGAGAGGAATAAACAGTTAATAAGGGATACAATACAAACATGCACAATAATATTTTTTAGGAATAAAATAAAAGATAAAATTTAGACTTGAAGTCCCATAGAGAAGATGAAGTAGAGTTCATCTGACTGTTTGACAGCATAATATGAAAGAATTTATGGTCCATTCAATGCTCGAATGAGTCTGGTTTATTTTGAGATAGGTGGTTTTTAAAATCGAAAACGATTATTTTAATACGTATGTGTTCTACCTCTCGACCACACCTGTCCTTACAAAGACATTGAATCAAAATATTATCTCTCCATAAATAAGACTAAGAGAATTTGGTCTATAATATTGACATGCAATTTAGGGCCCAAAAACTCTCCTTCAAAGGCAATTGTTAACCAATAACCCCAACACAAATGTTTAGTACCAATTAAATTTTTAACACAGCTTTATGAAATTTCGGAAAATTCCCAAAACTTTTGCCTTTTGCGAGTTATTTTCGGAACAGTAAAATTTTAATAACTGTGTTTTTAAAATGTTTAAACCTTTGTTACTGCTTTTAGTCATATTTTGTTTTACTTTCGTATTGTTTTATTGCTTTTAATCATAATAATAATATATCGTCATTGCTTTAAATCATTGCTTTTACTCATTGTTTTAGTCATAGGTTTAGTCTTTAATATTAAGCATAATTTTCCCCCCAGTCACAAAGTTTGCTCCCTTGCACTAGTTCTATTGTACACATTCATTGCTACTCCTATATTGCTAAACCGTATGTCAGTTTTATTTTTTATAGACCATCACAACGGATTTTTTTTATTTTCACCATAATCTCAGTTGGCGAATGGATTTATTTTCATCTCGAATATCGAATTACACTAGAAAAACCAACAACAGTGTTCGCCCTTGAACGCAGTGCTCGCCCTTGCAACAGAACTAAGGGCGATAGAACGTCATTCAAATTCAAGTTATTAAAAGATCCGGTTGTGAATAGTGATATAAAGTGTCTTGTTTTTAAAGTGATTATTTATTTATAATTTTTTTTATTTTAGAAATAAGGAATGGAATCGTTTAAATGAGTGCTAACATTAGGCTTCAATTTGGTACCTAAAGGTTTGACAAAAGGGCTGACTAAAGGCTGGGGGCAAAACTTTATTTCTTTGCAATTAAATTATTTAATTAAATTAGGTTCCAATGTTGTTGGGTGGCGTTAATTAAATGTTATAAGGGACTGGGGGTATCAGATTTGAAAGAGTCAGTGTGAATAGGACAAGGATTATAAGAGAATCTAGGGTGGATCTAGGAATGTATACAGTAATCTATGAATATCTGAGTATCGTGGTTGGAAAGGGGGTAGGCCTATAAAGTAGGCTAGTCATATCAGAGAATAGTAGTTTGAAGATTTCAGAGAATACACATAAAACGCAGATATTTTTGGGTTCAAAAAGAATTTAAAGTCAAGAAGTAAAAAAAGTAAAGTCTCCCTTTCAAACCTGACGGTCTATGGGGTAAGTGAAGTAGAGTTCACTTGTTTCTGTGACCTCGGCATATGAAGAGATAGTGTGGTCAGCACTATGCCCAGCCGCCTTTACTTTCCCTAACAGGAGTTAGGTACCCATCAGAGTTGGGTGGACTCAGGGACGGTCTGCTGATTTGAACCCTGATTCGAACTCGAGACTTACGGGTTAGTAGTCCAGCTCTCTACCGCTAGACCACTCCGTCCCATAAAGTCAAGAAGTGCTACTTTAATTTTCGTAAACAGAAGTGGCTAAATTAAAATTGTTTATTAAAGTTATTTTTTGTTGTTTTTTAACGGTTCGCTAGTTTCCGGTCATTAGAGTGTACTAAATGTATTTATTACAATTGCTGAAAATCAAGAACTTGAACCGGAAACAACGGGTTGTGAAGGCAAAACGCTACCTATACAGCCATAGCGTACACGACATGATTAGCTGTGGGAGAAGCAGCATCCATTGTTGTGAGTAAAGGCCCGCGTGCCGTGTTCTCTAGGCCAGGCTTCGGAGTGAGCGAAGGAGGGGGGAGGAGGGGGAGTTGTGTGTGGGAGGAATGGGTTGAGGCTAACTGACGCATCGATTTTTGTAGGACGTTTTCTGGCATCCTATGGTCAGTCTGTTAGTAGAGTCTTGCTAACTGACGCATCGATTTTTGTACGACGTTCCTAGAGTCAGCCTGTTAGTGGAGTCTTGCTAACTGACGCATCGATTTTTGTAGGACGTTCTGTGGCAACCTAGGGTCAGTCTGTTGGTGGAGTCTTGCTAACTGACGCATCGATTTTTGTAGGTCCTAGGGTCCGTCTGTTAGTGGAGTCTTGGAGCAGACGGTGAGATTTGGTAGCATTTTAGATCTTGTTGGTGGTGTTTGGTAGCATTGTTGGTGGTGTTTAGTTGTGTTGGTGGTATTTAGTTGTGTTGGTGGTATTTAGTAGTATTGTTGGTGGTGTTTGATTGTGTTGCTAGCATTGTTGGTGGTGTTTGTCGACATTGTTGGTGGTGTTTGGTGACACTTTTGGTGGTGTTTGGCAGTTACGGTGTGGTCAAATGGTAGAGCATACAACTGCTGACCCTTAAGTCTCTATTATGAATCTGGGTTAAAGTAAGTAGAACGTCCCTGAGTCCAGCCAGCTCTGATGGGTACCTAACTCTCGTAAAAGAAAGTAAAGTCGCCTGGGCATAGTGCTGACCACATTGTCTCTTCATATACCGAGGTCACAGAAACAAGTGAACTTTACTTCAATTGCTCATTAGACCGTTAGGTTCTAAAGGGAATTTTATTTTATGGGTAGATAATTAGTAAGTAAGTAAAACTCATAAGATATACTAATTAAGCTAATACACAGACAGAAAGACATACGGGTACAGTATCAAATATAGATCTACATTTAAACCTCACATTGCTTATAGACTTATGACCATGATATTTGCTCAGTATTTTAAAAAATCAATCAAGACTTAATTACGTCGTTTACAAATCAGCTAACGCAAACATTTTATTTGTCAACCCGACTAACGCACATATCTCATTCTAGGAGGAATCCTTTAAAAAACTCCAGCTTTTAATTCCTGTCCGAACTGATTTAAAAGCAATCAAGCGACCTAGTCTAGAAAGCATACATACGAAAACATACCCTGCATATTTCATATAAATATTACCGCTTTCCTTGTATAAAAAAACGCTTTTTATATCTAACATCATTACAAAATACAGGACATTTCTCAATGTGGCTTTTTTTCTACATAGGTCATGTTAACTTCAATTAAATTGGCCAATGCAGGAGTTGTCGTATAGTATTTCTTGGAGGGTGAGGTGGAATTGGAGCTAGTCCAAGGGCTGCCAGCCTCCCCCGTACGAAAAGAACAATTGTATATTTAAGCAGCCTCCGCCATCCCCTTCCCTCCCAAGTTTCAAGTGCCCCCCCCCCCCCCCGCTCCGAGACAAATATCAGAAAGAAACTACTTTCATATTTAGTCAGATTTTATTCAACACACATTGTTGATTTCGACTGTCCAGTTACGCAATCACTCGATTTTGCAAGTTGTCACTGCAGGTGTTTAAATGGAGTGGGTGCGATACATAAAGTAACAAGTAATGTTTTTCCTGACTTTTTTCTACGAGGAATGGGGTTGCACTTCAAATTTTCGGAGAGGGGGCGGGGGGCGGACTAAAATTTCCGGGGGGGGGGGGCGCACACACTGGTAAAAGTATATATTTCTTATATAAATTATATTTCGTTTAAGGTCCCCCCCCCTTCTCCCTCCCCGGCAGAGATCCCTAGAAGAAACTGGTAACAAGAAAAAGGTGAGATCAACTGAAACCATATTGTGATTAGTATAGGGTGAGACAGGTACTAAAGAAGTCATGATTTGTAGTCAAGGTTCATGAAATACAATATTTACTAAAGTGTTGATGATATGTAGGCTACTAAATAATCGATGATATTTACTAAAGTGGTCACTGTATTTACTAGCGTAGTCACTGTATTTACTAGCGTAGTCACAGTATTTACTAAAGTATTAACGATAAGTACTAAAGTAGTAATGTCATGTATGCCTACTAAATAACTGACTATATTTACTGCAGTAGTTATATAGCAGCATGAAATGTATTACAGAAACGATGAAATGTACGAACCTTGGAAAGGATTGAGAGAATGTGTTTTTTTTTTAATTCACGGACGTATTATTGTAAGAATATAATATATTTTTGTATTTAAATTTAAATTTATTTATTATTTTCGTTTGAAAGGGGGGGGGGGTAGTGGATTTCTCCGGATGAGGGTTGGGGGAGATGCCTGCAACAAATATACAAATGAAGCAGCCATATACATGTCGTAAAATGCAACAAATCCAACCACCTCTCTTAATATTACCCCCCCCCCCCCTTTTTTTTTTATTTTCGCCAATCACGACCCCAAAAAGACCCTACTCCCATATCCATCGACACCCACAGTTTAAAACAAAAGACCCCCCATTCCGGTTGTAGAAGACAGAAGCTAGCCCTCGCTGCCATAGTGTTCTCTTCTACCGACCCACGACTGAGTTATCGATTACAGGTAGTTTCGCTGGGCCGTACCGTGGCAGGAGAGGAATTATCGATAGCTGAACTTAACGCAGAACTAGATGGCTTGGGCGATATGCACATTGTTAGTTTAAGGTGTAAATAGGTTAAGGCAAGCGAGATAGTAGGGTTACTATTATATATATATAGGTATAATGATATATAGTTAAGCATATATATAGGCATATCTATAATGGAAATTAGTGGGAATGCGCCGTGTGCAAGTGCGTGTGTGTTTGTATTTGTATGTGTGTATGCATGTGGTTGTATTGTTTGGTTGTGGGTGGTTGTGTGTGTGCGGTTGAGTGTATCAACTGGTAAGGAGCACAGAAAATTGTTATCCCTACGACTGCCCTCTCCTTACAATACTTCCAAAGCCTACGAGCTAGGGCTAAAACATAGGCAAAGGCTTAATTTTTAGGGGAACTTTA